TGGAAGGGCTCCTACTCCTTTTTCTGTACCTCCATCAGAGGAGTACTTGAAGGAGTTACACGCCTGTTGGCGGGAACCGAGAGCGCTGTCGCGTCTCTCATCGGATGGTCGTGTATTAGCTGCCATGCATGAGTCGGTGAAGGCCGGCCTGGACCGTATGCCAGCAATTGAACCAGCTGTTGCTTCACTGATTGTGTCACCAGATGAAGCCCTGCGTCCTGATGTCCGGTGCCCGCGGACTCAATGTCGGGTTACAGATGACCTCCTCTGTAAGGCGTACAATGCAGGAGCGCGTGCTGGCCGCCTTGGCAATTCTCTGGCGCACCTCATGTTTGCCCTGTCTGCATCTGTTCAGGACACTGGTGGTGCAAGTGCGGCGGTTGGTTACAGTGACGCAGTGCTACAGGCCTTCGCGCTGATGACCAGAGAGCTTGGACGGGTCATGTCTTTCCTTGTCCAAGCTCATAGACAGGTCTGGCACAATCTCCTCTGACTGAATCCTGCCGTAGGACCCTCAGGGGTGTCCCGGTTGTACCAGGGGAGCTGTTTGGATCAGCTGCCTTGGAGGCGCTGGAACGGACTGCTCAAGCACGTCAGACTAGCCAGCAGCTTTCCGGCCTTCGCAGGAGCATACCTGCCTTTCCCCAGCGTTCGGGCCGCCCTGCCACTACCCCCAGTGTTCAGCCACGACCTCAGACTGGTGTCAGACCTATTGGTTCCTATCCCCATGATGTGCGGCACAGACCGAGGAGGGACTTTCGTGAGCCAGTCTGCCGCCCTGTTAGACAGACCCGGGCCTCAAATCCTGGACGCCCTCCCCCCAGAGCCCCCAGGGGCTGTGGGGATAGAAGATGATGCCACCGGGCCAGCAGTCGGACATTTTTCCCATCAGCAGCTGAATTTCTGGGCTGCTCATGCCGTAGATCAATGGGTGGTTGCCACCTTGACCAATGGCTACAGGCTCCAGTTCCGACGGCGGCCCCCCCTCTCACACGGGGTCAAGATGACTGTCATCACAGACCCGGTGAAATCTCAGGCACTAGACCAGGAGCTTTCCGCCCTCCTGGGCAAGGGGGCAATCGAGTCTGTAGATCCTCTGTAGTAGTAGCCTCTGGGTTGCCAGAGGCTACTACTACAGAGGACTCCACATACTCCACATACTTCCTTGTGGCCAAGAAGACCGGCGGTTTTCGCCCCATTTTAGATCTAAGGGGACTGAATCGGTACCTGAAGGTCCTTCCCTTCCACATGCTCACCATAACAGAGGTCCTTCAGACCATTGTGGCGGGAGATTGGTTTACATCAGTAGATCTGACAGAAGCCTACTTTCATGTGCCTATTGCTGCAGAACATCGCCGTTTTCTCAGGTTCGCCTATTGGGGGCGCCATTGGCAATTCCGGGTGCTCCCATTCGGGCTCTCCCTTTCCCTGAGGGTGTTTACTCGATGCGTGAAAGCAGCCCTCTCTCCTCTACAGGCCTCCGGAGTCAGGATTCTGCCATACCTGGACGATTGGCTTCTTTGTGCTCCCTCTCAGGTAGCTGCCTCTCGGGATACGTCCCAGCTTCTACTTCATGTGTCACTGTTAGGCCTCAAAGTCAACTTGGCAAAGAGTTGTCTTGTTCCATCTCAGACAACCACCTTTCTTGGGATGCATCTGGACTCTGCTACCATGATGGCCCGTCCATCTGTTCACAGGGTGGACGACATACTCCAGCTTGTCCGTCGATTCAGACTGGGCAGGGAGTTTCCCTACATCATCTTCCTGCGAATGCTGGGCAAACTGACATCAGTCACTCGTGTCGTGCCCTTAGGGCTGCTCCTTCTGCGTCCTTTGCAGCGATGGCTCAACAGCTTTCGCCTAGACGCCAGGCTGCACAGGCATCGCAGGCTAATGGTGACAAGGAGCTGCCTCCATGCCCTAGCTCCTTGGCGAGACGGGACCCTTTTGTCCAGTGGTGTTCCAATGGGGCTAGTAGTGTGTCGAAGGGAGGTGGTCACCACGGATGCCAGCCTCATGGGCTTGGGTGCCGTGTGGCAACACAGAGCTGTCCTGGGTCTTTGGGACCCAAGGGAGCGCACCGAACACATAAATGTGCTGGAGCTGCGGGCTGTGCACATGGCCCTCAGGTGCCTTCTGCCCCACCTAGAGGGAAGGCACGTGCTGATTCGGACAGACAACACCTCTGTTGTTTATCATATAAACCACCAAGGTGGCACCAGGTCAGCACGTCTCTTGAAGGTGTCGAGGGATCTCCTGGAATGGGCGTTTCCCCGTCTGTGTACCCTGCGCGCAGCGTATCTGCCAGGACGGCAGAACCAGGTTGCGGACTCTCTATCCCGCCAGGCACCTGCTCCGGGAGAGTGGTCTCTTCACCGCGACGTAGTGTGCATAATCTGGAACCTCTTTGGGCAGGCAGAGGTAGATGTTTTCGCCACAGAGGAGTCGACCCATTGCCCCCTATGATATTCCCTAACCGGGATGGCGGGCGCACTGGGCCAGGATGCACTGGCTCATCCATGGCCGCAGGTTCTCCTGTATTCCTTTCCACCCCTCTCACTGATTTGGCCGACTCTACGGAGGGTTCTCGAGCAGGGCCACAGAGTGTTGCTGGTAGCTCCGTTCTGGCCAGCGCGGCCGTGGTTCCCGCTGCTTTGGAGTCTGTGTCACGGTACTCCATGGCGTCTTCCAGCAAGGAGGGATCTGCTGTCTCAGTTGGGGGGACAGATATGGCACCCCAACCCTCAACGTCTCCAGCTGTGGGCATGGCCCCTGGGAGGCTGACTGGGTGTTCAGACACCGTGAGACACACCGTATTGAGTGCTAGGGCTTCCTCCACTCGGCTGCAGTATGCTAACAGATGGCGCCTCTTTTCTCAGTGGTGCTCTGCCCACAATGAGAACCCAGTTTCCTGCTCGGTGCCCACTATTTTGGAGTTCCTCCAGTCTCTCCTTGATAAGGGCCGCTCTCCTTCGACCCTTAAAGTGTATGTTGCAGCAATTTCATGTCTTCACCGAACTGTTGACAACCGTACAGTGGGGCGCCATGAACTGGTTTCACTTTTTTTGCGTGGTGCTCGTAGGTTGTGCCAGCAGCCAGCCCAACGAGCCCCAGATTGGGATCTGCCGTTGGTTCTCACAGCTCTGTGCCACCCTCCATTCGAGCCTTTGGCACAAGCAGAACTCAAGTGGCTTTCCTGCAAGACTGCTTTCCTGATGGCTATCGTCTCAGCTAAGAGGGTCAGCGAGCTACATGCTCTTTCTGTCAGCCCTAGGTGTATCAGGTGGAATCCAGATGGCTCTGGTGTTACCCTGTGGCCTAATACTGCGTTTGTGCCTAAGGTGTTGTCTCCTTTTCACCGTAACCAGCCATTGCGGCTGGCTCGGTTTCAGCCTCAATCTGGTACAACTGAGAATGAGTCTGAGTTGTTGTGCCCAGTAAGAGCGTTGGAGGCATACATTGCAGCCACCGCCAATCTGAGACGCTCGGACCAGCTTTTCCTATGCTATGGGGGTCCAAGGTTAGGCTGTCCTCTTTCTAAACAGCGTCTGTCCCATTGGATTGTGAGTGTCATCTGCCACGCCTACGCTGCAGGTCACTGCTCCCTGCCAGTCGGTGTGAGAGCACATTCCACCAGGAGCGTCACCGCTTCCTGGGCTGCTTTGAGAGGGGTTCCGCTGGAAGCTATATGTGCTGCTGCTTCATGGGCTTCCCCAACCACCTTCACCAGGTTCTACAGTGTCAATGTGGCTGCCCCTCATCCCCTGGGTCAGGTCCTTTTACAAGGTTCTGCTGGGCCTCCTCTGTGAGGTATGTGCTCAGGATTCCTTGTGACATCGTTGGCATTAGTCATTCAGTGCTTTCAGCACCGCCCTCTGGCGGTCAGTAGGGATGAAATAGAACAAAAGTTACGTATGTAACTACGGTTCTATGAATCCCGGATGACCGCCAGAGCTTCTCTGTCACTCAGAATCCTTGCTTTTGCGAGAAGATTCTGTAGGAGCAGAGCAAAGGATGACACCAGGCTATATAGCTTCTGAGTGGTCATCCGGTGTCACAGGTTTGACTCTGTTGGTATAATTACTCGAACTGCGCATGCCCGAAGGGAACATTCAGTGCTTTCAGCACCGCCCTCTGGCGGTCATCCGGGATTCATAGAACCGTAGTTACATACGTAACTTTCGTTTTCATTCCTCGAAGAGAAAAGTTTTCAATTTGATTTCACTGTGGGTAATAAATCTTTATGAGTTTCACTTTTTTTTTGCTGAAATAAATGAACTTTTCAATCATATTCTAATAGGAAGAGATGAACATGTATGTGGAATCAATAAAAATGTGCATCATCCTGCAAACTTTGGACCAAAATAATAATAAAAAAAAGCCTCACTTGGAAACTAGAGCTGTTATTTACGACGGAGTATTAGGGCCACACATGAAAAGAAAAAATATTTTTGCCATGACGAGATTAAACTCGACATGTCGACTTTAAAGTCGACATGTCGACATTAAACTCAACATTTTGAGAATAAAGTTGAAATGTCATGTTGAGTTTAATCTCGACGTGTCGACTTTAAACTCGCCATTTCGAGAATAAAGTTGATATATCGTGGCGACTTTAATCTCGACATTCCAAAGTTTGGAGAAAAGAGCAACCGCGCTCCACAGCTGCAGTCTGCGTTTTAAGAGTGAAGGTAGTCTTTGACGTGCTGCAACTGTATAGGATTCTGTGCATGTATCCTGTGCAGCGGTTGGCTCTCTTGAACTAATTTAAACTTTATTGTAGACACGTCGAGATGAAACTCAACATGACATTTCAACTTTATTCTCGAAATGGCGAGTTTGAAGTCGACAGGGCGAGATTAAACTCAATATGACATTTTAACTTTATTCTCGAAATGTTGAGTTTAATGTCGACATGTCGAGTTTAATCTCGTCATGGCAAAAATATTTTTTCTCTTCATGTATGGCCCTAATACTCCGTCGTAGTTATTCAAACATGTTCTAAAAAAGTTCTTTAAACATCTGACATAATATTTGAATCTTTCATAATGAAAATTAACAGCAAAGTCTCCTCACTCGATGATTACAGGCTGGATAATCATCTGTAAAGTAAGCACATTAAGTGGAAAAAAAAGAGGGATCTAACCCGTTGAGTTGTTTAACTGCAGGTAAGATCTTCACTGTAAAACGTAATGAAGTTCCCAGAGGAACAGCAGCAGCTTGGCTTTTTTTCTGACTGGGAGATGGGCGGGATTTCAATCCGTGGGCATAAACTGTACCGGCAAAGGCCTAAAACTGAACATTTATAAAGCTAACGGGAAAAACAAAATGTTCGATAAATATATAAAACGCTCATCCTGTCAGCTTTATCCTGACTTACATTGGAGCAGCAGGATTTGGTTAAATTGACTACTTCCTTTTCACAGCAGCAGAATCTTCATCTTTCAGGACGAACTTTTTCCTCAGAGCTTCTGATATCAGCGTGGCCGAGTCCTCCTCTCTGAGGGAGGTGCAGCCTCTGTTGTACCTAAACAAGGCAACACATCCTGTCAGTAAAAACAGCAAACTAAACATGAACTTCCACCGTTTCTCCACCCCTCACCTGTCTTTACTCATCTTCATTTTGTTCATGTCCTTCAGGATGTCCATGACGTCGGCAAAGCTGGTGGACTTGGACAGGGACACCGTGTCTTCCTCCGCCTCCCGGAAATCCATGCTGGGCCTGTCCAGATCGAAGGTGGCCGACGCCGTCATGGAAACGGGAGGCAGAGGATCGGGAAGGAGCTCAGAGACGATGGAGACTACGTCTTTCTCATCTTCCTCCACCAGTTCTTCGTCTTCTGCCTCCTCCTCTTCCTCCTCAGTGACGTCGCTAATGACGAAGGAAGCGGGAGCCACGGTCGCCGGCTGGAGGGACGCAGTCTCGAATGGGGCCATGGAAAACCCCATGCTGGTGTCATCAGGGGAGAGCAGCTCGGGGGTCAGGGGGTTAGAGTCTGGAGAAAAAGAAACTGTTCATTCATTTACTGAATGTAACCAGGATCATTTGTTTCCATTTTTGTTAAATTCAGTTTTATTTTTCTTATTTCAATTAAAGATTTATTTAAAAATAAAATCCTCTTCTCCATAAATTCTTTAACACAAAGAAAAAGCCAAACGAGATCATTTTGTTCTCACATGGTTGTATGGTTAGCTGCAGCTTATATGGCTGATGAGTGGCAGCCCAGGTAGGAGACTGTGTGACGTTGATGCAGGCATGCTTCTAGTCGATCGTACGCCTCTAACAACTGTCTACAATACTGTCTTCCACTCATATGCCTCTCAACTTTTAGATGCATCCTTGTGGATTAAAACCTTCATCAGATCACAAGGTTTGACAAGAGGGAACTAGTGAGTATTTGTGTTTTGTTCCGGAGCTAACATGCTAGCACTAGCCTCCCAGCAATCGTTCGGGCTCGGTCATTTCCTCACCCGGGTTTAAGCATTTAAACTGGAGGTATTTCAAATTGTAAAACACTATCATTGTATGCTTAAATGGGGCGACAGTGGCGTCGGATGTAGGAGTTTGCCCTGAAATCGAAGGATTGACGGTTCTAGCCCCAGTGTACGGCAGCCTTGCTTCTGTCAGTGAGCCCCAGGGCAGCTGTGGCTACAATGTAGCTTGCCACCATAAGTGTGTGAATGTGTGCGTGAATGACTGAATGTAGAGTAAAGCCTGTACTATATAAGTACAGGCCATTCACCATTTAAATGAAATGATTGAATACTCACTTGAGTTTAATGTTATAATGTGAACTTATTTCACTGCAGTGATATTTTGATGGACAAAACCAAAGATTGATCAATCAGGCCTGCTTTATACGGGCAAGGATTCCATTTCAGAATTTTGTTCTAGGATCTCATTCCAGAATCAGTCCCCAGGACTCTGAATGTCTGGTGGATCAGACTGACGAGCTAGACCCATATAACGCACCAAAGGAAACGGCACTTTCTACCTCCCAACATGGACTGGTTGGATTTCTTGGATAAGGAACAAACCTTGCAATTCATGAACTGTCATGACTGATTTGTCTGTAAATAATGTAAATATTAATACACATCACTCATTTTGCTCCATTCTGTTGTCTGTCAGTGTGTTTATACAATAAAGAATTAAATCTGATTTAATTTTGTTTTTCTTCAATCGTGCTAATATTCATATAAGTAATATAGGTTTCTTGAATAATCAGAGGAACTCATCAGTAGACAGAGAACATTAGACACCTATGGTAGGAATTTTTTTTTTTAAGGTTCGGTGACGCCGGTGCGTGGTGGTTTAAAATCCCCCAAGCTATCAGAGAAAGGCTCCACTGTAGCTACACAGCTGCTCCTGAAGGCAGACGGCTCACTTTTTTAGGAAATATTATCATCCTTCAGTTTCTATAATTCCTACTTTCTTTGACCACTTCACATAAAAAAAGCTCATAAGTTGTGTGATTTAGATGTCAATGGTGGTAAACAGTAACGTCAGTTTGACTGGAGGAGGCTCAATGTTTAATTGAGAGGCATTACAATAAGGTTTTTATTTGCTCTGTCCATAACAAGCAGTCAAGACTTTTTGGAATTATTTCTCAAAAACTCTGAGTCACAGCTTTAAGAATAAGATGTAACATATAAAAGACACTAAACGAGCAAAAAACAATAAAAATATAAGAATTAAAAATCAAATCAAGGGACCCTACTAGTTTAATGAATATAAAAAAATGGGTTCTGGGAATTGGGACTGAAGTGCTGGTTATCCTCCTGCAGCAGTGTGTCGCAGTGAGCTTCTCACAGGTATGACGCAGATATTTTTGCGGGTCCCCGACGGGTCACCCGCTAAAATGCTCTTTTGCGGGTGAAAAATACATAAATAAAAATAAACGGGTCGGGCGGATATTTTTTTAGTGCGGGCTGGTAGTTGGTTATTTTTTTTTTATGCGTGTGTGTTGTTATGGACCTCAGAAATGTTATATTAATCAGGCACTGTCTGGGGTCACCCTTGTTGTAGCTTAAAGCCCTGCCGGCAGTGTGGGCTTCCCTCCAAAAAGGCCACAGTCAGTGCATACACGTCTGCTGCAGTGTTAATGGCGCTGTTCTGCAGCGCAGCGTACTATAGCCTAATAATTGATGTGTTAACGGGTCGGGTTGCGGGTTAAATATCAACGGGTCGGGTCGGGTTCGGATTTGAATTGACGATATCCGCGAGTGACGGGTCGGGTTCGGGTGGGTGCGGGTTGGTAAAACTCGACCCGTGCAGGACTCTACATGAGGGCGAAAAAGAGCGGGGATCCAGTTGGAAAAAAGGTCCCAGCGTTCTTGCGCACCTCGCTCTCCTAGCTGGTCCATCTTCACCAGACGTTTTCCACAATGGTCATACAAACAAAACAAGCCGGTAAGGTACCAAGCAGGAAATAAGCATAGTGTAGAGCACCAATAAGAGGCCTCCTGTCTGCGGTCAACTAAGGTTTTGGAGTGGTGCACCAGAGCGTCTCTGTAAGGGGCGGGGCATATCTGCATTAACAGCAACACACATGCAGATGACCCGGATTCTGAGCATAAACCGGCCTTGAGATGTAATTAGGCGAGGTAGTGTCTGGTTGTTTTTCACAGTTTCTAGTCATTTTGATTTGCCATCCATCAGACTGTGGCTGGGAAGAAGCTGCTAAAAAAAGCGAGTTCTGTGGTTCCTAATACCTTCCGCCCTGCTGCGTCTCAGGTTATACGTGCAGCGTATGATCAGAGGGCGGGCAGGGTGGAGGGAGTCTTTGATGATCCCCCCTGCTTTTTTTTTCCGACAGCGCTTTACGAACAACCTGTCAAAGGAGGGGGAAGTTCTGACCCAACAATCCCTTCCGCAGTCTTCATAACTCTCTGCAGAGCCTTCCTCTCTGCCTGTGGGGTATTCTTATAGAATACAATAACCGACATTTAGAGGCTTTTCTAAACTGTAGCTTGTGCACACTAACACCTTTTCACATGAAAAACAATCAGCAGCCTCTCATAACCAGCTCAGTTTGGGTTATATACAGGAAAGAACCATGAAACTGTACCCAAAAATATTGAAATTATTAGAAACAGTACCAATAAACTAATCTAAGGTCAATCACCAAAAAAAAAACATAACATTTACAATAATTCAACCCAAAGCTACTCTCCTGTTTACTTTGGTATGTTCCACCAGCTTTTAAACTCCACCTGGAGCACTTTCTCCAAACCAGGAAGAACTAGTCGCCTCGATCAAAAATTGCAATTTCTCAAAGTAATGTAAAAAAGAAAAAAAAAAGAAGAAAAAAACTAAGCAGAAATATGAAATGAATACATATGTATATGAATGATACAAGCATAACATCCCAATTAAAGTTGCTTTCAAGGAGCCCTTTGCTCACAATGACTGATTTAGAAATAAAAAAATATATATTTATTTAGAAAATGTGTTTCCATACATTTCCAGACCTGGAAATATGAATCAAATCTCCAGAGTTTTTCAGGCTGTATGGAAACATTTAAAGAAATTTATACGAAATCCTCCAAAGCCTGAATTTTAAACTATCCATCATGTGATGAGCAGCTCCCATAAAACAGCAGGGATAATCTTCCATCATTGACCTACAAATTGGTGCCAAGTCACCTTACTAACAGCTTACAGGGAATCAGGGCAGCTGGATGAGTCACATTAAGACACCAGCTCTGCCATATACTCTTTAGTGTGAGCAACATGAAACCTGCATCGCTCTGAAATGTTTGATGATTCGTTGATAATAAAAAAAAACCCAACAGGTTTTATCAAGCTATATTACTTTCAAACTGCCTCCAGTAACAGAAGTTACAGACAAAAGAGCGTCTCTCATCACAGTGAGCTACTGACCTGAATCGCTTGCAACAATCTTTGCGATCTGAGCTCTCAGTCTGCTGAGCTCTTCCTGCAGGGCTGTGGTTCGGTTCAGCGCCGTCACCCCAGGCTTCCTCAGGCCCTCCATCCTTTTGCCTTCCCGACGGAAATTGGGCACAGATGAGTTCCTGTGGAGAACTAGGAGGGGTGTGGGCCGCCATTCGTGTTTCAGAGGGCGTGTGTCACTTCTGCAAAGAAAACACTGATAAGTGTCAATCGAAAGAAAGAAATAAAAAACATGTTTACCATTTAAAACCTCCAACTTAGTAGAGGTGAAACCACAATGCAATTGAATGGTTAACGATTCAATTACGAAAATGCAAAATAAAAACTGATCTATACGTTTATCTACATGAAATGTCTACTTTAAAATTCCAAAAAGTAGAAAACCATATTGTTTTATATATATATATATATACACTCACCGGCCACTTTATTAGGTACACCATGCTAGTAACGGGTTGGACCCCCTTTTGCCTTCAGAACTGCCTCAATTCTTCGTGGCATAGATTCAACAAGGTGCTGGAAGCATTCCTCAGGGAGTTTGGTCCATATTGACATGATGGCATCACACAGTTGCCGCAGATTTGTCGGCTGCACATCCATGATGCGAATCTCCCGTTCCACCACATCCCAAAGATGCTCTATTGGATTGAGATCTGGTGACTGTGGAGGCCATTTGAGTACAGTGAACTCATTGTCATGTTCAAGAAACCAGTCTGAGATGATTCCAGCTTTATGACATGGCGCATTATCCTGCTGAAAGTAGCCATCAGAAGTTGGGTACATTGTGGTCATACAGGGATGGACATGGTCAGCAACAATACTCAGGTAGGCTGTGGCGTTGCAACGATGCTCAATTGGTACCAAGGGGCCCAAAGAGTGCCAAGAAAATATTCCTCACACCATGACACCACCACCACCAGCCTGAACCGTTGATACAAGGCAGGATGGATCCATGCTTTCATGTTGTAGACGCCAAATTCTGACCCTACCATCCGAATGTCGCAGCAGAAATCGAGACTCATCAGACCAGGCAACGTTTTTCCAATCTCCTATTGTCCAATTTTGATGAGCTTGTGCAAATTGTAGCCTCAGTTTCCTGTTCTTAGCTGAAAGGAGTGGCACCCGGTGTGGTCTTCTGCTGCTGTAGCCCATCTGCCTCAAAGTTTGACGTACTGTGCATTCAGAGATGCTCTTCTGCCCACCTTGGTTGTAACGGGTGGTTGTATGAGTCACTGTTGCCCTTCTATCAGCTCGAACCAGTCTGGCCATTCTCCTCTGACCTCTGGCATCAACAAGGCATTTCTGCCCACAGAACTGCCGCTCACTGGATGTTTTTTCTTTTTCATACCATTCTCTGTAAACCCTAGAGATGGTTGTGCGTGAAAATCCCAGTAGATCAGCAGTTTCTGAAATACTCAGACCAGCCCTTCTGGCACCAACAATCATGCCACGTTCAAAGTCACTCAAATCACCTTTCTTCCCCATACTGATGCTCGGTTTGAACTGCAGGAGATTGTCTTGACCATGTCTACATGCCTAAATGCACTGAGTTGCCGCCATGTGATTGGCTGCTTAGAAATTAAGTGTTAACGAGCAGTTGGACAGGTGTACCTAATAAAGTCGCAAGTGAGTGTATATATATATTAGGGGTGGAACGGTTCACAAAATCAACGGTTCGGTTCACGGTTTCGTGGTCACGGTTTTCAGTTCGGATTGGTATAAGTTGATGGTTAGGAAAATCTATTATGTCTTGTATTGCAGAGTATAACACGTGTCGCACAATGTTTTTTTTTTTATTAAGTCAACATTTACATGAAAAAAAACTCTCAGAGAGGATAGCAAAGGTGAACATGAACAGATAAAGATCAATTACAATAAAAGAAAAACAAAGAAGTAAAACAACTAACGGGATTTATCTTAGCAAACATTTAAAACAAACATAGACAGATGAGAAGAAAAATAGATTTTAAAGTCATTCATAAACCAATGAAAGGAAGGTTTGGAATTTCTCCATTTAGCACAGTGGATATGATATTTACCCAACAGCAGGAAGACATTAATAGTATAAGAAACAGGTTGGGGAAGATGGTCCATATAAAAAAAATGACATCATTAAGTGCAAAAGGGATGTTGCACAATGCTTGCACACTGTTGCACTTTTATCCACAACTTTCTTTCCGCCGTCATCGTAGGTCACTCTAAATGCAAAGTGGTCCCATACAGCAGACCTATTAAGTGCTGCTGGCGCGTCTTCCAACTCCTGTTCTTTCCCACTCGCCATACCCACACAATTCTCCACAACAACTGATTTTTTTCTGCTACACCCGGCTAAGCTGCTTCACTTCTTCTTCTTCTTGTTTACTAATGGTGGTTGGCTTTGGTCGCAGCACTGCCACCTTCTGCTCTGGAGTGTAAACGGTTCACCTATGAGAAAAAGGAACCGCGCATGAACCGAACGCAACACACACGAATCGAACCGGTCTTCATAAACCGTTCCATCCCAAATATATATATATATATATATATATATATATATATATATATATAATGAAATGGAAGCTGTTTTTGCTCTAAATGTCTGTAAGAGCATAAGCATACAATGTTTACATTTAGGTTTTCATGACTTGACACTAAATAAATGTCAGATATTAAATGTCAAATGTAGATTTGTAAATTAAACTGAATGGAAATGGTACTTTGATGTGCTTTGTGATATGAGCAACAAACATTGTATCGTAATCTGAAGAAACTGATATAATAATAATAATAAACTAGTCATTTAAACCACTATACGTTTCTGCGTCTCCGTTTACCTCGCAGCCCCCAAAAAACGTTCAACTTCAAATTCAAGAATAATAAAGCTCCATCGTATATATTAGAGATTTGAGTGTTCCTGATGTCCTTAATAGGATAGGTTGAGGTTAGGGAAGACAATCAGTCCTTGAAAAGGTGGGTATTCCCCTTCAGGTTGGAGGAGAGTTCCTGCCTCAGGTGGAGGATTTCTGGTGTCCTGTTCACAAGCTGTAGCAGGACATCCATCAGTGTTGCTGTTGCTATAATGCAAACACTATATCAGTCTGTTACGGTGAAGAAAGAGCTGAGTGAAAAGGCAAAGCTTGCGATTTACAGTTATATTCCTACCCTAACTGATGGTCTTGATATCTGGATCATGACCAAAAGAACGAGATCCTGGATACAAGTAGCTGAAATGAGCTTTCTCTACAGGGGGTATGCACTCCCTTAGAGAACAGGTGAGAAGCTGAGAGAGGATCTGAGTGGCTAAGACCGTAGTGGATGCCCCCTGGACTTCTCCTAGTGAAATGGGTTAGCATTGAGTGCCTGTCTACTCTTAGGACTAGGCTTAAAACTTTTATCTTCGCTAAGCTTAGTTAGTCTCTACGGTAATCCAGAAACTCCATAGTTATGCTGCTATAGGCTTAGGCTGCTGGAGGATATTGGGATAACTTTTTTTAAGCCAATTTATGCTTCTGACGCATAGCTTCTTCAACGGTCAAATCCGTCTCCGTTGTCGGGCACCTCAAAAAATCCTGACTACGAGTCGGACATTTGCAAACCCGCGCAGACCTCAAGCGGAGGTGCGCAGACAAAAAGCAGCTGTGATTATCCTTGGTATGCCTTTCCGGCTGTCTGTGTGGTCGTCCTTCTCGATTCGGTGCCGGGGCGTGCCATTTTTAAAAACCGGAGAACAATGAGCAACTACGAAGGTTAATCAAGGACGTTTGGAAGTTCAACCACTTGTACGATGCCGCAGACAAATTATATAAATAAATATATCCTCTTTGATGTCTAGCAACTCTAGATCCATGTCAGTGACCGTGATATCTTGCAGACGCGCCATTGTTGTTTTGGAACACTCCTGCCGGCGCCACAGAAGTTCTTGCGAGTTCTCCAATAGGCCCCCCATTGCGCTTTGGCGGGAAACTGCTGTGATCCCTAGAAATTCCCAACCGACGGTGCAGAAGCATACCAGCAAAACCGGTTCGCGACCCAAGCAACATTTAATGTATCCGGTTGCAGGAGTCTAATCTGCCCTTTACTCTGCTACACTCAACTTATATTTCCAATATTTCATTATTTTTTTCTTTTCCTTGTCATAACAGCTACATCTGGGAAGCTGTAACATCCTACAGAGAAGCATCAGCAAGGCAGCTGGCGTTAACTTTAATTACAGATGATTGACCTAGGTCTGTTGGTTAACGTTTAGTCCTGTTTCTCTCATAGGCAAAGCTACAGGCTCAGCTTTTACTGGATGTGTTCTCTTTCACCCTTTAAAAAATGAAAACTAGTTTAGAGATCATCTGCTTAACTGTCTTCCAAGAAAAAGTATCTTATGGAGCTAGTTTAGATTTACCAACCCTTAGAATAGCAAGTATTCCTTGATCAGTGCTTCTGCCTGCCTTCTGTGTCTACTCAAGCCACATTTGGTCACTCACACTGAGACTGTTTCTGGTGGAGGGTTCTTCCCATTAAAGGGGAATATTTCTCCCCACTGTTTTTTCATGAACGCTCTGTGTGAGGGATTGTTGAAAGCCAATGGCACAATGCAATTTTTCCTGTTTGTACATATTGGAGAATGCAAATTTACTAAGTCAATGACTTAAGGAAATCTGCAAAATTTGTTGAAATGGAAAACCTCCAACCACTCTGTCTGGATGATTTGATTGAATTGAATCTGTAAACTGTTTTGAGTAGCTGTGCTTTACATTGGTACTATATAAAAACAAAAATGGAACTTTCAGAAATATTAAAGTGTTGTAAAGCTAAGATTTATAAAAGTAAATCTGTGTCGCTGGGATTTGAATTAAAAATGCTACTGAAATTTAAATGTATGTTTGTACTTACTGTTTCAGTGTTAAAATATATTCAGAACACATTTTTTGAAATTCAGTGTAAAAAGGGAAGGGTTACTTCAGGTCACAGACATTAGCAATGGATTGTGGCTTCCAACACCCAGCCAATCCCGTTACGTTTTCTTAGTCACGTGACGTGACGCTTGTGGCGCTCATATGGAAGGAAAACCAGCATGACGGAGCCAGTCATGCAAGCTAACGCTAACTCAACTACAGAAAAATGAAAGTAATAAACTCACTTTTTACATTGAATTTAGTCGCCGAATTTAAAATGGTGAAATAGAGCCAGTTGAATCTCAGGAGGCTGAAAATATTGACATTGAATTTTGAAAGGTTGAATTTTTTTATATGCAGATTTTTTAACACTCAAAAATTAAACTGAAAAATAAGTATTGAAAATGTGAATTTTTAGCTTGAAGAGAAAATAACTAATGAAATTTCAACTGTGTAGAAATAATGACAATGAATTTTTTTTTAGGTCAAAAATGTGTTCTGGATATATTTTAACACTGAAACAGTAAGTTCAAACATACAACATTTAAAATTCAGTGGCATAATTCAAATCCCAGCGACACAGATTTACTTCCATAAAGATTGAGCATCACAATTTAATCAAATGTGACATCACTAATACACACAGGGCTTTCTTTATCTTTTTCCCTTAACATCCTACATAATTTTTTAGTTTTCATTCCAAAAAAATGAGTGTGTATACCGTATTTTCACGACCATAAGGCGCACCGGACTAAAAGGCGCACTCTCAGTTATGTGTCCCATTTCTGTATTTAACACACACATAAGGCGCACCGGACTATAGGGCGCGTTTTTTATATACAGGTACAAGTCCTCTACTACCTTTAAATACCTCTACTGCGTATTTATAAATACAGCGGGGGCAAAACTGAGTATGACTGTGCTTTATTCATGTATTTATTACAAAGTATTAATCAAACCTGGCAGCTGGCCGTGAGACAGAGACATCGCAGATGACACAGCGCTGTGATCACTCCTAAATTAACTTAAAATCCTGAAACCTGCTGACGGAATATGTTCGCTTTTATTGCCGGTATCCTGGTGCCTGCAGCTAAAATTATTTAGATGAAAAACACCTGCCAGCAGCCGCGGTGAACCCCAGGCTGCCCAGCCTACAGGCTGCTGATGAAGAGATTTCTGCTGTCAGCGCACCGCTGGTATGTGGGGGTCTGAGCGCCTCCGACAGAAATAGATAATCTGGATGAACTGACTGCAATTATTAAGTTTTCAGGTGGACTTTCTCACTTAAAAACATATTAAAACTACTTTATTCCCACTGATCACAGCAAATATAGCTGCAAGATTTAGATTATTTAGATGAAAAACACCTGCAAGCAGCCGCGGTGAACAAAAGGATTTCTCCTGTCGGCGCACCGCTGGTATGTGGGGGTCTGAGCGCCTCCGACAGAAATAGATAATCTGGATGAACTGACTGCAATTATTAAGTTTTCAGGTGGACTTTCTCACTTAAAAACATATTAAAACTACGTTATTCCCACTGATTACAGCAAATATAGCTGCAAGATTTAGATTATTTAGATGAAAAAACACCTGCCAGCCACCGCGATGAAGAGGAGGAGACGTGCCGGGGATGCTGTTGAATTAAGTTTTCAGGGAGAAAAATAGAGCGGGAGCAAAACTGAGTATGATTGTGCTTTATTCATGTATTTATTACAAAGTATTAATCAAACCCATCAAAGTCATCATCCTCTGTTTCTGAATAAAACAGCTGCGCTAAATCAGACATGCCAGTTTCCCCTTCTTTGCTGTCAGTCACTTTCCGTGCAGCGCAGCTCCTCAGAAATAATGCCGGCTTTTGCGAAAGCTTGAACAACAGAGCCAGCAGACACTTTAGTCCAAGCATCTACAATCCATCCGCAAACGGTGGCGTAACTTGCCCGGCGCTGCCTTCTTATCCTGAAACTGTGGTCTCCGTCGGTCATCCATCGCTCCCACGCCGCTTGCAGCCTTACTTCGAACGGCTGCTTCACACCGATGTCGAGCGGTTGAAGCTCCTTTGTCAGACCCCCGGGATAACGGCGAGCACAGCGTTCATTTGATTCACCTTTTTTTCACATCGGCTGTGAGATGGGCACGCAGCGATGGTGATGCGTGGAAAAAACCACCTAGTCTTCTCACATACACCTGCCTCAGCCACGCATCCATCCAGCCTTTTCCATTTGCGTTAATATCATATGTCATCAGAGCGCTGTCTGTCTCGCTGGCAGCTCCCAGATCAGCTTCTCTGATTGGTTGATGCGGCGCGTCCAGCAGCAAAACTTCCATTTTTCCATCTCGAGCAGCAGAAGCGCGGCGCTTCAGATGCTTAAACGCTCCCGACCTGCTGCACCAAAATGCGCTGCGGGACCTTTTGCTGCACCTATATGCGCGTCAACCATTGACTTTGCATGTAAACTCGCTGCTTCTGCTGCACCTGCTGGGTCCGGTTCACACCGATGTCGAGCAGCGTTAATTTGTTTCCCCATGTTTTTCACATCAGCTGTGAGATGGGCACGCATGGAGTTACATATTAACAGCGATGGTGAGGGGTGGAAAAAAAACACCTGGTCTCCTTACATTCAGCCACTCTTTCATCATCTCCTCAATGAGGTGGTCTCAAAAGTCGCAGTTACAACACACATAAGGCGCACCGCACCATAGGGCGCACCGCACATTTTGAGGAAAAAAAAAGACGTTTAAGTGCGCCTTATAGTCGTGAAAATACGGTAATAGTGAAACGTATCTTGCCAACAAAACCCATGTCTTTTTATGGGAAAACAGCAATTTTAGGAAATATTTTTCACAACTGTAGAATTGTAAAAAAAAAATAAAAAAAAATTTTTGTTAGAGCAAAGAACGGGGTTATAATTTATAGTGGTTGCTTAGATCCAGACTTTAGACAAACCTGACTCTGGCATATGTCTCCTCTTCATCTGCAACGATCCAGGCTATGTCTGCCAAGGTGGGAACTGCAGGGCCGTCAAAAGCACGAAGAGGGGGCAGACCTGGGAGCTCCTTTGGTAGAGAGATATGCAATTATAACTCCTCTAGAAGTACATTTATTGGTTTAAAAAAGAACCTTGAAAAAGAAGTGTAGCACAGGATGGGAAATGTACCTGAAAACATGCCCTCTGCGGAGGTTTGAGTGGAAGAGTGGAACCTATTCTTCTAACAACACTACGTGCAGCTCCGTGAGGCTTGTTCTGCCAGATGGGAATCATTTCCTAAAGAAGACATAAAAACACTCCTGGGTTCTCCTAAAAACATAAAGCTGCTGTCTGTCCAATTTTCCCATAGAGTCGGAGTAAAGTCAGGTACAAGAGAGCAGATTATCGACAACTAGAGCGTTAGCTTACTGTTTCTGTCTCCATGATGACGTTGGGTCAGCCTCATTCGCTGCACACCAAAGCTTGTGTGCAAGTACTCTCTTAAGATGCAACAGCTCAGTGAACAGATGTCATGCTCTTGAATGCGCCACTTCCTGGGATTAAAAAAAAAAGCTTTGAGGTCAAATAAACTGAATCAAATCACTGCTTGCCAAATTAAAATGTACTATTTTCAGTTTTAGATTTTATTAATGATTCGTTATCCATACTTTAAAACCCTGCGAACTTGGGCATAACATTTTTTAATATTATATTATATGAAAGACAAATTATTATATTGAAATACATGACAATTACTGAAAATAAAAATTTGAAGTTTTTAAATATTCTTCATAAGATATTTACTTTTGTGGCAAGTGTTAAGATAATGAAAAGAGCATGTTGTTTATGAAAAGTTTTATTAATGTAACAACTTTAATGGGCTCAAAGTATCAAAAACTATTTGTTTCGAACCCAAACCAAGCCACGATTTTACAGTTTTAAATGTACACCAGCTAAATATCCAAATTCTCTTAATAAAATGACACGTCCAGTTGAAACTTCACAAAGAAACTCATAGCATGCATGTGTATTACACCGGTTACTCCGATGTTAAAAGCATGTGTGCAATAGTTTATATTAATAAAACAACATATGTTGATGCTATAGTTTTTTTTTTTTTTTTTTGTATAGAATAGGTTCATGTGGCACATTGTGTCAAATATCTATAAAAATGTGCCAATTTTGTCATAAGCATTTGACCATTTATTGGACAAAAAAAAAAAAATTGCAAAACAAAATTGCTTTTTTTTTAGCTTAAACTTTGTTATCAAGATCTTTTTTTCTATGATGGGGACAAAAGCAAGTGCGTCATATTACAGGTTGTGAGCTGATGTCTCACCCTCAATTGGCTCTCATGACACACAGCCACATCTAGCCAAAAGCTCTTCCATTTGGCAGCCACTTCATATAAATCATTTTAGGAAGCATCATTGCATCAGAACATAAGGCCAGTGAGAAGAGAAGTGGGCATGTGCAAACTGGATGGAAGACCTTTCCAACAACACATTGTACGCCTATTTCTGACACGGTCAGGAGTCACAATTTCAGTCAAAATAGAAGTAACTTTAATGACCTTCATGCTTTATGTACTCCTCTGAACACAGTTGATGATATACAGCAGAAATGCAATGAAAAAAAGGCTCGGTTATAAGCAGGATATAAGCTTTTTACAAGGCAACTCTGCCTGGCACATTGAGAAGTCTATGTTCTGTTGTTCCACCAAAGCAACTAAATACTTCCCCCCAAAAAACCCTGGAGAGCCTTCAGAAAGGGGGATAGAATAACTGTAAGGAATATAGGCCAAATAAGAGAATGACAGGCGGCATACAGGAAGAAACTGGAAAGCAAACTTGAGGAGAACAATATCAGAGTTGTGATGTCAGAGACGATCAGAAGATCACAGGCTGAGTGTGGGGTCATCTGTGTAATAAACCAGCAGCCCCGGACATGTTGCAAAGGTTAATCGTGCAACCCATCAACAGAGGCTTTGGTCCTTGTCGTGGCCGTCACAGGTTGAAGTCTCGGTCCTTTGACCTTTGCCGCATGTCTTTTCTTCTTGTCTAACTACTTACAAGAATAGCAAAAAATAAAGGCACCCAGAGCCTAAAAATAAAGATTTAAAACCAGCACCCAGTAAAGGCCTCAGAGGTTCAGTAGAGAACTTTAAGCAACAAACAGGATCAATGAACAGGGATTGCCGTTTTGGAAGAAGTTGTGGAGCAGCTTAATGTAGAATTGGGTTATAAAAAACATATTTCAAACTTGGAACAAATCACTGAGCTCTGTTCAATCCATCACCTAAAAATAGACTTTGGCACAGCTGCACACTACTAAGATAAACAAACTGGATCAGACAAGAAGGTCAATCAGTGGAGCAGCTAAAGATAAAATGAAAAGAGGCAGAGGTTTATCTTTCATCAAGACAGTGAACCCTAATAATAAAGATGCAGCTCTACAGAATAGTATAGATCAGACCATGTTATGTTATTAGTTACATCTGAACAGCAGATGCATAATTTTGCACCAACTCTTTGAAGACTATTGTAGCTAGGTGGATTTTTATTTAAGCATTTTATATGTTTATTTGTGTGCCTTACATTATTTCCTTAAAAAACTACAATTAGAACAATCTCTGAGATTCTTTTTTCCATTTATAAGTTTTTATTTTTGAAGTCATTGATTTTATTCCTTTATTTGTTTTGTAACAATGTGACAATAATCTATGTACGTGATCTGATAACAAATATGTTCCAAGTCGAAATCAACACCTAAATGCAGGTGAGAAAATGGAGACACTTGAACATAGATGTTTACAGATTCTCTCCATACAGACTGAGACACAAATATAAGCCACACTTTTCAGCTTTTTATTTCTAAAACATTTTCCATGAAATCCTAGCATCTATCACATGAAATGTCTCAAGGTTTAAGGTTATAACATAATCAACCATGTAAAGGTATCCATCAAATTACTTCAAGGTCAGACTATAATTTGTCATTTTGTTTTACTTTCAGTCCATTTTAGACCCAATTTACAATAAAATCTAAATATATTGCACCTACTAACACTGAACTGAACTGAGACACCCAAAGATATAAGAACATCCATACTAATACTGATGCAATTGCATCATGAAGTCATGTCAAACATTATGACAATAAATGATGGTTGTGTAAAATTTTAAATATTTGTAAAATTAATTAAAATGAAAGCAGATCTGGACCCTAAATCACAAAAATAGCCCAAAACTTACAAAGTACTCTCTGAAAATGAAAGTACTGAGGATCTGGGTCCAGATATTGATCCCATTGCTTTAAGTGCATGAAGGTGCATAAACCCCCACAAATATCTCTCAGCAGAGAGAGAGAGGAGAGGCTAAAACTGGTATAAAAAAGGGCTATAAAATCAGTGTCACTGAAGAAATTAGAAATCAAAGTTGGTGGGACAAGGACAGGATAGGCTGTCCTTAATTTTACCAAGAAAATATATTTGTATATATTTTGCTTAATGAGGAAGCTGCACTTTTAATTCTTAGATGTATGACAATCGCTTTACTACTCCAGACATTCATTTAAAAGGATACCATGTTATCATGGGTACATTTCCAATAAAAATATATTTTTTTGGATACCTTAATTTTTCACATGGAAGGGTTACATGTAATAAGGTAAATATAATTGTTATAATAATGAGAACAAAGTAGATTCGAGTCCATTGAAAACAGTAACGCTGCATTATATAATGGGTAGATTTTTGGCAGTGTGAATAAAAGATGTTCAGCACAAAATTATCTACTTTAAACAAGATTCGTTGGACCAGTTTCCACCGGCCGGGGTGGCTATGGTATGCTAGCGTTAGCTGCACCGAGAGCTAACGCGACCACCCGGCTAACCCTAAAATGTCCCTTTACAAAAACTAATGGGTCAATCTGTAAAGTACCCTAAAACATTGCATTGTAAATCAAGACAACAACGTACCGGATATTATTGCAGAATCGTAGAAGGGAAAAACATAACACCGCTGAGAGTAACCGCTTCTTCCCTTCGTCGTTCTTCTTCTTCTTCTTCTTCTATTGAGTTTTCTGGCAGTTTGCATCCTGTGTCCATTACCGCCATCAACTGGACGGAGATGTAATTCAGAAATATAATGTCTATATATCTTTATATCTTCATGAAACTAAATTCTATCTATACTTACACACACGCACATACACACACTAAATTCTCCCAGCTAATTCTGTATCTTTTAAATATTTAATAAGTGCTTTAATTATCTTATCTGATTGATGCTTCCCTAATAAATCTGCCATCTTTACTGAACTCCCCATTACCCTTTCCAGTTCTTTCCTCTCTTTTATATATTTGCTACAATAGATCAACACATGTTCTACTCCTTCGATTTCTCCACAATAACAACAATTACCCGTTGGATGTTTCCCTATTATTTTTAGACCTGCATTTAAACTAGTATGCCCAATCCTTAACCTGTTTATCTTTATGTATTTTATATAAATGTGTTCCTTTTTTTTCTAAATTCCATCTCTTCTGCCATACCTTATTTATTTTATCTTTAATAATTACTTTTATTTCTGTTCTACTTAGCGGGACATCATATTCAATTTCTCCTACTTTAACTGCTTCTTTAGCTAACTTATCTACTTTTTCATTACCTAAGATTCCTTTGTGTGCTGGAACCCATGTGAATTGAATACTTATATTTTGTTGCCTTATACCATACATTAAATAACTGACTTCATCTAAAAGATCTTGACGGCTTTCAGATTTTCCACTTTTAAAACTAGTCAGGCAAGACATTGAATCTGAACAGATAACTACATTTCTAGGCTTCACCTCCAGCACCCATTGCAATGCTAAAATAATTGCCAACATCTCTGCTGAAAAAATTGATAAATTATCTGTTGTTCTTCTCTTGATAGAAATATTTTCTTTTGGAATATATACTGCTACTCCTGTTTTACCATTTTCCTCTTTTGATACATCTGTATATATTTGTGTCATATTTTCATACCTTACTTCTAAATGCTGCTGAATAATTTGATACGAACCTCCACAAGACTCTTCTATTTTTTTAGTTTCTAAATTTACTATTGGCATTTCGAAAAACCATGGAGCAATTTTAGATGTACTTACAGTTTTACAGTGTGTTATATTACTTATCCCAGAATACTCTGCATAAATATTTCCTTCCCATCCAAAACTCCTTATATTATGGCCATATTCCCAACATTCTCTGAATATCTGTTTAGTAGGGTGATTTTCCTCATGCCCTTGTAAATTTAAGCAGTAATTTATTGACAGTTTCATCCTCCTTAAGTCCAGTGGCATTTCTCCAGTAATCACTTGAAGAGCAGGAACTGGAGATGTTCGAAAAGCACCACTACATATCCTAAGCGCTTTGGCTTGGATTCTATCTAAATCTAACAACAAAGAATTTGCAGCTGATTTATAAACAATACATCCATAGTCCAACACAGATCGAATTAAAACATCATATATTCTTTTCAAGGATGAGCTAGTTGCCCCCCAGTCATTCCCTGACAAACATTTCAATATATTAATACCTTTTTTACATTTATCAATAATCTTCTGCATATGTATCTTAAATGAAAGTTTTCCATCAAACCATACACCATATTTACCTGTTTCAATTCATGCCCATATAATCTAAGATCTACTGTTGGATTATCCCTTTTCCTTGAAAAACATAATACTTGTGTCTTCTCAACAGACAAACGAAACCCCCATTCGTGTGACCATCTTTCTACCGTTTTAATTGCTGATTGCATTCTATTTTTTAAATAACTAAGATTTCCTCCTCTCACCCATAATGCCCCATCATCTGCATATAATGCTTTATTAATTCTAAAATCTATATTATCAAAAATATCATTAATCATTATATTAAAAAGCACTGGACTACATACACTACCTTGTGGAGTTCCATTTTGTATATCATAAATGTTTGAATAATTTACCCCAACTCTTACTTCTATTTTTCTATTCTTTAAAAAATCCTTAATCCAATTAAACATTTTTCCTTTGATTCCCATTTTATTCATCTTAATTAATAAACCCTCCTTCCAAAGCATATCATATGCTTTTTCAATATCAAAAAATGTAGCCAAGAGAATTTCTTTATTTACCTGAGCCTTTCTTATTTCATTTTCTAAACAAGCAATTGGATCTACTGTTGTCCGTCCACTTCTAAAACCACTCTGATAAGGGGATAAAAGATCTCTTTTTTCTATTTCATACATTAATCTCCTAGTTATCATTCTCTCCATCAATTTACATAAATTAGAAGTAAGAGCTATAGGCCTATAACTTTTAACCTCTCCTTTATCCTTACCTGGCTTTAATATTGGTACAATGATTGAATGCTTCCAGCTTAAGGGCAATTCACCTTGTTTCCATACTTTATTGTATAACTTTAAAATTATTCCTTTAGCATCATCTGATAAATGTTCAATCATCCTATAACATATGCCATCTTTACCTGGAGATGTATTTTTAACTCCTATCAATGCTCTATTCATTTCAAACAATGTAAATTCTTTATCTAAAATACTTCCATCAATCTCTTTTCTATTTAAAATTTCTCTATTATCTTCAATCATTTCCAATCTCCATGATAATTCTTCATTTGATAAATTTTTTGAACTATGCACCTTCACAAAGGACCTTGCAAACATCTCTGCTTTTTCCTTGTTTGTTATAGCTTCACACTGATCATCTTTAATTATAGGTAAAGAAAAATCCCTTCTAATTCCTCCCATCTTTCTAATCATTCCCCAGATCTCATTTATTTTAACGTCCATTCCAATTGTACTACAAAAACTTCTCCAATAATTCTTTTTTGATAGTTTAACTGTTCTCCTAACTTTAGATTGTGCTTTTTTGTATAATATTAAATTATCAAATGAATGATTTATTTTTAACTTTTTAAATGCTTTATTCCTAACTTTAATAGCTTCTTTACATTCATTGTTCCACCAAGGAACCATTTTCTTTTTCTTCAATCCAGTAGATTTGCAAATGGCCTTTTCTGCAGATTCGTATATTATATTTGTAATCATTGAATTTAATTCTTCAATATTATTGCTTAAATTTGGCATAATCTCCATAAACATGTCACTTGCTATCTTTTTGTACATTTCCCAATTAGCTTCCCTCATTCTCCATTTAGGATACCAATTTTCTTCAACTGCTACTTTAAAATTATTCAATTTAAGCAGAATAGGATAATGATCACTTCCAAGGGAGTTATCATTCATTACTTCCCATTGACTTATTCCTGCTATCTGATCTGAGACTATAGTAAGATCAATTGCAGATTCTACTCCATGCCCTACATCAAATCTAGTACCTCTTCCATCATTTAGACAAGTTAAGTTATAATCATCCATAAATTCCTCAATTATGTTTCCATTTTCATCATTCCTTTTACTTCCCCATAAGGTATTATGAGCATTAAAATCTCCACATAAAATATTTTTAACATTTTCCTTCACATAAATACTATCCAGTATTTCTCTACTTATTTTTTTACATGGATTATAATAATTTATTATATTAAATTTTGATTTACTAATCCATACCTCAATCCCTATTACTTCTATTTCTTCATTTATATTTAAAACTTTATAATTAATTCCCTGCTGAACAAATATGGCAACACCTCCTCCTACATTTGGGTTTCTATCTTTACGTAGTTCAATATATCCACTAAGAATAAAATCAAGTGATGGTTTTAACCAGGTTTCTTGAATACATACTATATTTGGTTTAACATTCTGTCTTTCAATAAAATATTTTAATTCTTGGCCATTAGCAATTAAGCTTCTTGCATTCCACTGTAATATGGATAAGACCATCAATTGTCACCACTCCTGGACTGTTGACTTTCATTAATCCCTGTTAAAACTGCACTGATTGACTCAAAAGACAGGTCTTCCATCTCAAGGTATTTTTCTGCTGCTTTGATTATTATTTTAATTCGCTCTGTTCTACTATCTGTCTGAGCTGAACAATTTATTACTTCCACAATAAATGCAACAAATTTATTTTTATCCACAATCATTGTATTTCCTGAGGTATTCAGGCTCTGGGTTTGCTCTGTTTTTTGAGGTGGAGTGTGAGGCACAGAAATACTTTTAGCATTAACATTTGAGTTACTTACCTTTTTAACTGCATCTGCATAGGTAACTTTTTCTTTGACACGTATATTTTGTACCTGTACTGCTCTTTTATGAGCTTCACATCCTTTAAATGCAGCACTGTGTTCCCCACCACAGTTACAGCACCTTAACTTAGTTCCTTCAGAACATTTCCCATATTCATGCTCCCCTCCACACTTGGAACACCTGGCCTTAGCTCTGCAAGCAGCAGCAATATGTCCGAACCTCTGACATTTGTAACACCTGGTTGGTGGAGGAATGTATTGCCTAACTGTATAGCTGACAAACCCAATCATCATTTTTTCAGGTAATCTATCTTCTTCTAGTACTAACATAACTGATTTACTAGGACTTTTAACTCCTTCTCTTGTAGCAAACAGACGTTTCACTTTAATCACTCGAGCTCCTTTTATATTACCTTTAATCTCTTCCTCCGTCAAATCAGTTGATACTCCATATATTACTCCCATTACTTTTCCTCTTTCCTGCCATATTTGCGGCTTGATTGTTTTTCCCAACAACGTCTTGCTTCTCATTAGTCCCTGCACCTGATCTCTATCTCTGCATAATACCAATAGATTGCCATCTCTTAGCGTTTTGACTGTATTCACTTCACCTACTATTTTATATATTGCCTCACTTATCTTTAACGGATTCAATGCACATGGGTTCTGGAATCTAAGAATCACTTTCATTTCATTTGTATTTTCCTCTCTTTTTTCTTCATCAGATTCAAAGCCTTTCCTTTTCTTATTTCCTCGACTCACTGTTTGCCAGTTTCCTGTTTTACCACTTCTATTACAATAGTCACTACTCAAACTACAATTATCCGAGTCATCTAATTCTTCGCATTCTTCCATCTTACTTCCTTATTTAAAGTTATCTACAACTAACTCCAAATTACACCTCCGTCACTTTAACTTCAACAAAACAAATTTTTGCTCCCCCAGCGTCTGCCGCTAACAGCCTCTCTCACTGTAGACCACGACCTCTTATCAAATGAATGATTTAGTTTTAACTTTTTAAATGCTTTATTCCTAACTTCGTCTTTCACTCTGTTGTTGACGTTTAACAGGCCGGAAACCTGCGCCTCCCTGTCATGTAATCTGATTGGCTGCTGCATCATCACGTGATTCCTTCATAAACCGGAGAGCTCCACCTGCAGACGGGAATGGGTACTTCTTCTGGGTTCTCCAAATAATGTTTATTATGAGCCCATACACTCACCGGCCACTTTATTAGGTACACCTGTCCAACTGCTCATTAACACTTAATTTCTAAGCAGCCAATCACATGACGGCAACTCAGTGCATTTAGGCATGTAGACATGGTCAAGACAATCTCCTGCAGTTCAAACCGAGCTTCAGTATGGGGAAGAAAGGTGATTTGAGTGACTTTGAACGTGGCATGATTGTTGGTGCCAGAAGGGCTGGTCTGAGTATTTCAGAAACTGCTGATCTACTGGGATTTTCACGCACAACGATCTCTAGGGTTTACAGAGAATGGTCTGAAAAAGAAAAAACATCCAGTGAGCGGCAGTTCTGTGGGCGGAAATGCCTTGTTGTTGCCAGAGGTCAGAGGAGAATGGCCAGACTGGTTCGAGCTGATAGAAGGGCAACAGTGACTCAAATAACCACCCGTTACAACCAAGGTGGGCAGAAGAGCATCTCTGAACGCACAGTACGTCGAACTTTGAGGCAGATGGGCTACAGCAGCAGAAGATCAGACCGGGTGCCACTCCTTTTAGCTAAGAACAGGAAACTGAGGATACAATTTGCATAAGGTCATCGAAATTGGACAATAGAAGATTGGAAAAACGTTGCCTGGTCTGTTGAGTCTCGATTTCTGCTGCGACATTCGGATGGTAGGGTCAGAATTTGGCGTCTACAACATGAAAGCATGGATCCATTCTGCCTTGTATCAACGGTTCAGGCTGGTGGTGGTGGTGTCATGGTGTGGGGTATATTTTCTTGGCACTCTTTGGGCCCCTTGGTACCAATTGAGCATCGTTACAACGCCACAGCCTACCTGAGTATTGTTGCTGACCATGTCCATCCCTTTATGACCACAATGTACCCAACTTCTGATGGCTACTTTCAGCAGGATAATGCGCCATGTCATAAAGCTGGAATCATCTCAGACTGGTTTCTTGAACATGACAATGTGTTCACTGTACTCAAATGGCCTCCACAGTCACCAGATCTCAATCCAATAGAGCATCTTTGGGATGTGGTGGAACGGGAGATTCGCATCATGGATGTGCAGCCGACAAATCTGCGGCAACTGTGTGATGCCATCATGTCAATATGAACCAAACTCCCTGAGGAATGCTTCCAGCACCTTGTTGAATCTATGCCACCAAGAATTGAGACAGTTCTGAAGGCAAAAGTGGGTCCAACCAGTTACTATCATGGGGTACCTAATAAAGTGGCCGGTGAGTGTATAATGTAACTATAAGCTGAAAAAAAGTCATAACTGTCAACAATGAATCTGTAAAAAATTAGGATAATTATTCAAAGTCCCTTTCCTCTTCCATATGCAGCTTGCTAATCAAAACAAAATAATAAAATAGAATGGAATAGATAGAATAGAAAATCCCTATATTGTCCCACAATGGGGAAATTCTGGTGTTTACTGCAGCAAAAGGATTCTAGAAAAAATCGTCACTATATATATATATATATATATATATATATATATATATATATATATATATATATATATATATATATATATATATATGGATGCACTGTATATACTGTATCCCATTGGCACCTTCTTCTTCGTTTTGACTATTGAGCCGACGTATGGAGTAAATTTTCTCCACTGTGAGCTCAATAAAGCCAATCAATAAATCAGTCAATCAATTATTTTAGATAGAAAGAATGTTATTTAAGATATCTGGAAGTAAAAGTCCTATACACATGAATGAAAACGTGACGTCATTTGTACTAGTAAGAATCACATTTCAGATATCTGAAATGTTTATTTTCAGACAGGAAGAATGTTATTTTAGATATCTAATATTGAGTCTAATAAATGTCAAAACGGCCTGCCATATATGGCTAGGAGTTTGGGGAGGAGGGGAATTATCTTGACATGGCGGAGACGGCGCGTCTGACAGGGAGGAGCTTTAATAATAAACTTGTTCTGTTGTCTGCAGTGATATCATAACCCCGCAGCATGAAGGTGCGCTCATGTGACAGCTGCTCATCCTCGTCCTCTGGCAGAACTCAGGTCAGTAAGGATGCAGCCCAGTCTTCCTCTTTGATTCCCTGTTATTTATCATCTGCTGCTCGCTGTCGTTTGCTTCTGCCATAGCTGCTCGCTAGATCCCTCTGCGTTATGTCGCCTGAAAAGCTTCCTTCCTTCACAACGATGATGTTAACCCCAGCATTTACAGGAAGCAACTTCTTGCATGATCTTGCTTCTGAATTATGGAAGGAAATTACTAAGCAAACTGAGGTTCTCTTTAACGTCTCTTGCAAATAAACCAGCAGACAGTGAGATCAGCTGGAATACATTTCAGGGCTGTAATATAATGTCATTACATTGTTGTTATTGCTGCATATAAGCCTGGGTTTCATCTGTATTATTTGCTAAATGTGATGATCAGACATAATATTAGGACTACCTGCTTATTACCTACAAGTTGGTCCTCCTTTTGCTGTCAAAACAACCTGGACCAATCCAAGCATCATCCTTACGCCTTGACTGGCTGCAGCACATCCCACAGATTCTACAGAACTGAGATCTGGGAATCAGGAGGCCAAGTCAGCATCTTAAAGTCATAATTGATCTCCACCGATTGTTGCTGAGGCTGTTAGATTTTAGGTGTTTGTATGAAAACTACATGGTGTGCAGCTGTGCTTGTGGAGTATAGAAACTTTTACATTAATTGGCAGAAACTAAGGAACATTAGCAGAAGATGGCCAAAAGCATCACCTCCTCTCAGAGGCATAGCCAGAAATTTTTAATAAGGGTGGCCAGGCAATAACAAATGTAAACTGAGGGAGGGCAGAAACTAGATAGGCACAAAAACCTAAGGGTCAGTCTAAACTGTTCCAAATGGAAAATTAAAGAGAAAAACATCCATATTTTCTAAATAAAGACAAGCTATATTTTCCTACAGCCTTTGCTAACAAATAGAGGAATATATATTTAAATATCCGTGCTTTCTACATAAAAGGCATAGGTTTATAGGTTTTGGGCAAACATCTCTTCCGTCGGCATTACTTACCTACTTTTATCAGTGTTATTCTGCATAAAATTGATATTTACAAGTACTAATATCTACATAAATTGATGATTTAACAAGTTTTTATTTTTCATACTGTAGACTCCCAGATGACTTGCAAAGACACATCATTTTTGTCTTTACCCCATAAAACACAAAATCTATTTCTGAAAAGAGTATGAATTCTGTATTTCTTATCTTTAATGTTAGTATATCGATGTGCAGAATTAACCACGGTGTTTTTTGTTGTCAATTAATTGTTAAAATATGAAAAATTTAAATGCTTAGCCACCATCTGTATTAAAGGGAAATAAATGGTAGGGGTGGCTAATGATTGGCTAAGGAGGCCATGGCCACCCCTGCCCCCCCATCTAGCTCCGCCCCTGCCTCCTCTGGGATTACTTTACTTCTGTAGCACAGTTAGGCGAAATATTCCTGTGATCCATCAAAACTTCTTCCATCCCTCTTTGCAGCGATTAACAGACAATATAGTTTTCCTCTTAGATCGGATCTGACATCTTTCCAACCATGACCCTAAATACTTTTACTTTACAGTTATTGCAGCTCTTAACAGATCCGCCTTTAATAAAAAAAAATTCCTTTTCTTATTAATTCTAACTATTTAGACTACACCCTCTCCCTCCCCCATTCAGGACCTACAAGCTACACCAGCGTAGCATCTCCAGAACTTTTGCGTTACATTAATGCACAGTCTACTGTGTATAAAGTATATAGCTATGTGGAACTGCTTCCGGTTGATCGCAAAGCTGTATGTTCATAAAAGTAGCTTGAGTCAGAGAAAAAGCTAGAGAATGGGGGGAAAAAGGCACATTTCTGTCATGATCTGGCCTGTTTGCTCCTCCTTAATTAGTAATTCCTTTCACCTGTCGTTTTCCCTCCCTGCCTCAATTATAATTTATTCCTCTCACCTGTTTCCTCTTGGTTATATTCAGTTCAGCCTGAGCATTCAGTGCCAGATCATTATTTGTTTTCTGTGAGTCTGTCTGTTCAGTTTTATTTCATGGTTCATGTCCTGGATCCTGGCGGCCAGTGGAAAGAGGTTTTTATGTTTGTCTCATCTCCTGATTGTCCACAGTTCCTCCCCGCGGAGTCCTCTGGGTTTTTGGCTCTATATTTGGGGAGGTTCAGTTTTTATCTCAGTAAGCCTGGCTCCGGGGAGGAGACCAGTTTAAAGTCCTGCATCAAGTTCTGGTTCCACGTCCTGTCTCAGCTACCCTCTTCCACTGAGCCTGCTCAGCTGCACCTGATCCGTTCTGCTCCTGTGCGTGACCACCTGGTCATGCTTTCGGAGCCTGTCAGACTCTGAACCCGCCTGGGAGCTCTATGATACCTGGAAGTCTGGATCCTGCCACCTGTTCTGTTCCTGCCCGATCTGGATCCTGTTCCTGTCTGTTCTTAATCCCTGACCAGGATCGGCTTCCAGCATGTCCTCTAGGACTGCAGCACTTGGGGACATTCTTGGACTGGACTGTTAAACCAGAGTGTCTGTGATTGGGCGGTGCCCTGCTCCCCATCCTGCAGTGTCCGCGAGCCACAGCTCCACTTTAGTTTTTGTTTTATTTAATAAACTTTTTGAACTTTCCTACTGATTGTCTCTCCTTGAATACTGGGTCCATCTGTCCGCGTTCATGACAATTTCAACAAAAGTGGCTGGAAAACGAGGAACTTGGGACATGGCTGCAGCCTGTCGACAGGTGCCTTTTGGTGAAATTAAAATGATTTCTAAGAGCATTAAAAAGCATCAAATTTGAGTTATTCATTCCTGTATAAACCCTTTATATGTATTTTGTCTGTACCCTCAACACAAAGTTCCTTGTAAGTGCAAACCTACTTGGCAATAAACTTGATTCTGATACAAATGTTAAAGGGATCAGGGTCAGTGTTCATAATATTATCAGTGCATGTTGCAGATCGATTCTAGTATTGTAGTAAATATCGATAAATTTATTTTTTTTAAAAGCACTAAAAGTTTGCAGAATTAATTTTAATTTAGCCACACTGGCGCTTTTCATCAGATACGCTTCCAGGACATCATAAAACATTCATGTTGTGCTTTTTTTTTTTTTTTACTTGCTAATGGCCTCTGGATGGCTGACCTGCTTTATAACCAAGAGGAGCTTAATGTCACAAAAACATTTTCTCTTCATATTTTCTGGCAGCGACAGTAATTCATATCAGATCTTGGAAGATTTTGTTTTTCAATAACATTTTGTCATCTGATCCTGCGGCGTTTCTCCAATTTTCCATCTTTCCTCCATAAGAGCTCACTCTGGGCATGACATCTTACTTTTTAGCCTACTACGTGTTGTCAGAGCAGTTCTTTTCACACAATTTATTGATTTTATTTTTCAAGATTTGAAGCAAAAAAGTAAGACAATAAGTATTATATAAAGGGAAGCACTTTGACAGCACAGTAGCTTGCAGCCTTGATGCCTGTATTTGCCGCTCATATTGACTGTGAGAACAGGCCTACATACTAATGACATGGAATGATTGACAGTTTAGCTGAATTGAAAGGCTGACTCCATTATGCTGATGAGCGTCTGGCTCATTTTCTCCCCATGGGTCACATGACTGCAGGTGCATTAAGCTGCCTGCTAAAAGCATGTAAAATTAACACTATTTGTCTTCTGCAGGTGCAGTAACCGGGGCTAAATGGCGGGCCTGGGGAGCAAAAGGAGGAAGAACGCCAGCTGATTCCCCTCTATACGTCCACAGCCTGCTGCCTGCATCCAAGCAGAAAACAGAGATGGCTCAATCCATCCGAAGGCCGGAGAGTTTAGGAGGCGTGAACCTCAAACCCCAGGGGGAAAAGACCAGAACTGGCTACTTCTGCAACGTGAAGAACAGGTCAGGCCTCAAATATGCAGATATGTTAAAGAATAAAGACATTCTGTAGAGGTGATTGAAATGGTCCTAGATTTACATATACAACATTTCAGGCTTTAATGCTAATGTATGTTTTCAAATGCACATTTCCATCATCGGTTTGTGAAGGACTCCATGACAGCATCATGTGGGTGAATGTAGCCCCATCTTGCCAGGAACTCTGGGAAAACTCCTACTCCACTATAAATAGCTCAGTGCAGACTGAATGCTAGACTGTTCAGTAATTCACACTTTAATTTTCCAAATACTTGAAGCTGTGTCTAGAAATAAAGTTTTCTGAAAGAGCTGATTGAATAGTTTAGAGTGAAGCTGAGCTAAAAATGCTTCACATAAAATTAAAGGGAAAAAAAGGTTAAGAATAAAAAAAAATCAGATACTAAATCATCTTTTATTGAAGAGATGCAGTAACCCATAAGATATGAGTTTCATTTAAAGAAACCGACCATAAAGGTTAACGTTGGCCTCGTTTGTTTAGTTCTGGGACCTAGACCTACCGTATGTTGGCATAGTTTATACCTGACAGGTGAGCCTTATTCCAAACTATTGTTATTTATAAAATATTTGATTTTGAAATATGTCAATTTTTATTGGGATGCACTGCAGTTCAAAGACTTGTGTGATACAAGCAACATTACTGTACTTGTTCCTGGCAGGACTCTGGCACACAGCCCATTGCAAAAGTAAACTAAGCTACTGCTTAGGGCCCCAGGGTTACTAAGGGGGCCCCTTGGCTCCCAAGAACAGTCAATTGTTTGGGGGGGTTTTCCGCTTATAATGGTTTCTATATAAATATGATAAAAGAAATAGAGAATTACAAGATAAAACTGTAAATTTTTATATTAACATGTTGCTATCTTGTAGAAATCATTACTTATAGATAAAAGATTAACACACAGATTCTGAAGGAGCGATATGAACTTCTCTAATAAGAGTGCACTGGCTTAAAAAAAAAAGTCTACAAAAAACAACCTTCCAGACATCCTAAAACAGAGATTACCTCATGTTTAATTGCCTTGCTCAAAATGAGATCTGAGTTCTACTTAAATCTTTGGTTGGCTCTGCAGATGGCCTGCATTCTCCCTGTTAATGTTGCATCTGCATAGTGGAGCTTTTTCCAAGTCAAAATTAAGAAGAAAAATCTTCCATGGTAAAAGAATGATGGAGTGAGCGTGCAGTGACTGATAGCCAACCAATCAGTCCTCTTTCTATAATATCATCAGTGACTTTGCTAACAGTAAAGTTGGGATGCAAAGGTTCTAAAAAGTGAGAGGAAAACTGAGGAAGAACAATCTAGCATAAAAAGGTGAGTAATGGTAGCTGGTATTTTAAAATATAACTTTAGTTAAAATATTACTTTAGAGATAGTTTCAAGGTGTTGCTTTATTGTATATCTCGTACCATGTCTTTTGGTTGTGCTGTTCTTTTTTCATCTCGTTACAGGTGATGAAGCAGACTGAAAATGTTTTGTCATTGTCTCCTTTCTATCTCTTCTTTCTTTCATCTTTTCTCTTTTTTTCTTTCTTTTTTCCTTTTCTTCTTCTGTTTTTCTGCTCTATTTACATTGCAGTGTCCATATAAACTGTAAAACTCCCTGCATAATTATAATAAAGAAATTTATATGCATGAAACAAGTGGAGCAGTATAGCAATTGCCATACTGTTACACTTGTGAAAGTAAAATCTGTTGGGCTCTTTTTGGCATCAAGACAATTATTCTTATTGCCACATTGCCAGACAGGACACTGTTAAAAAAATAAAATAAAACAAATATAACTTTTTAAAGCTATATTTCATTTACTACCTGGTTTCCAGTAACTAATGCCATTATTTTGTAACATTCATAATATTTCATTCTTTAATTTTATTATGTCTGTTTTTGTGCAGTTTGGATCATTATTTCTATTTAACAAAGTAATTTTTATTTGTTTGTTGTTCTTGCACTGCAGGTTATTTTTGCACATTTGCTGCTGCTGCAGCTTGAACCAAAAAGTATAAAGCACATGACACTTTTATGTAAATAAACTGCATGCTAATTGATTCTATTACTTTTAGTAACACCAGGTGATGCTTACAAATAGCAGACTGCAAACAACGCCTCCAGAGTTGCAATGAGTTTATTGTGGGTGTGTGAATGATTGGATCTTTGGAGTGTTGGTTTCAGAAATGGGTATTATTTGCAAAAATAAAGGGCTCTAAAATCAAACATTTTGCATAGGGACCTATGGAAGCTTGGACCGGCCCTGCTCTGACAGCAGGATTTGGGTGGGCGGCACATAAATAAGCACCAATAAATTAGTATATAGCTTTTTTTCCCTTCTTTTTCCCCAATTGTAGTCAACTAATAAAGAAGACTTTGACCTTGCATTTCAGGGGTATTTTTCTGCAATAGACCGGAGGAAAGTCTGACCCGTTGAGAACACAGTGACTGTATTGGTTGAATAAAGCTGTTGAATAAAAGTAGCTCTAGAATTGAGCCTTGGAGAACCCCAGTGCTGATATCCATTTCGTCATCAATCAGTGCATCACAAACATCAGTAAAACCACCACAGACTTTTTAGATGTATCTATGTTGAGATGTGTGACATTCAGAAATGTGAATGCAGCTAAGGTTGTGTGAATGCTCCTAAAAGTGCAGAACTCAGTTTTAAGTTAGAGTGCCATTATTTCTTTTGTTGAGCACAGAGCGAGCTTATAGAGTAAAACAACTTTGACAAAGGAAGTCATTCAGTGCCTATGGATGGGTTCAGGCCCATTTCAATGGCCTAGTGGGTTAGAGCAGTGTGCTCCGATTGCTCCCTGGGCGCTGCACAATGGCAGCCCACTGCACCAAAAGGGGATGCGTTAAATGCAGAGGTAAATCTCCAATGGGAGATCAATAAGGTTCAGTTATTATTAGGTCTGTAGTAGGGATGGAACGGTTTATGAAAACCGTCCGAACCGTTCGGTTCGACTGTCTCGGTTCGATTCGCGTGTGTTTCGTTCGGTTCATGCGCTGCTCCTTTTTCTCATAGGCGAAGTGTTTACACTCCAGAGCAGAAGGTGGCGGTACTGCGACCAAAGCCAACCACCAGTAGTAAACAAGAAGAAGAAGAAGCGAAGCAGCGTAGCCGGGTGTAGCAGAAAAAAATCTGTAGTTGTGGAGAATTGTGTGGGAATGGCGAGTGGGAAAGAACAGGAGTTGGAAGACGCGCAAGCAGCACTTTATAGGTCTGCTGTATGGGACCACTTTGCATTTAGAGTGACCTACGATGACGGCGGAAAGAAAGTTGTGGATAAAAGTGCAACAATGTGCAAGCAATGTGCAACACGTTTTGTTTATGCTAACAGCAACATGACCAACATGTCATGCTAACCCCGAAATCCCACATACTCCGTCAGCGCTCCGCCCCGCTGCGCTCCAGACCGCCTGCACAAAGCAAAGCCTACAGCCTCCGCTGTGGCTCCCGTCCCCTCCGCTCTGAGTCCCTTGGAGATGGTAGAGAGCATGCGCGAAATGATTAAATTCAAAGCAGCAAAACATGAGGAAATGATCCAGGGTTTCCGCGGATCATTAAAAATAATTACAATTCACAAATTTGTTTTGATTTTTTTCATTAATTTCATTAATTTTTATGGGATTTCGGGGTACACTGGAAAAAGGATCTAAAAATAAGTAGAAATGCCTTAAATTAAGTGTATTTACGCTTAATTTGAGTAGGTAAATGAGATAGTTTGCCAATGGAATGAGTATTTTTGCTCTTAAAATTAGAAAATTAGATAAAATGCACCTGAAATAAGACAATGCAATTGTGTTTTCTTATTGTAAGTGTAAATTGTCTTGTTCCTTGGCAAAATCTCTCTTTTATCTACTGAATCCAAGAACAAATACACTTATTTTAAGAAAAAAAAAACTTATCTAAATTTCGATTTTTTTCCAGTGTAACAATCAACATATACCGAACCGAACTGAAAATCGTAACCACGAAACCGTGAACCGAACCGAACCGTGGATTTTGTGAACCGTTCCACCCCTAGTCTGTAGGGTAGAGGCAGAGAAACGATTTCAAGTGGGCCTTTTCCATTTCTTACAACATCTTTGAACATTGCTTGACTCTATGCTCAAAGTTCGCTTCATTGCTCCAATAAAGCCTTTTACTTAGTTCAACAGGTTTGTCGGGATTTTTTCCCCTCGTGACCCTTTCATGATGACATGTAGCTGCAAGTCATGTCTGCTTTTTGAACAGTCTACACGCCTCTGCAGAAATACCCTGAATATTTTTTTCTCTGTTAGCCGTGGACTAAGATTCAGCTCAACAGCAGTGCTGCATGCCGTGCATTCTCTTTCTTTCTGAACTCAAATTGATCTCGACAGTTCACATGTCCCGTTTCAACCACAGACAATGGCATTTTCGGCAACTAAATAGATAGACAGCCACCAAGTGGGCTTGCATCGATTAAAGCTGCAGTCTGTAACATTGAGGAGAGAGCAGACTTCGACTGAAAATTTGAAGAAAAACAGGTTTCACGCCACTCCCCCACCCTCTCTGCTTCACTCATGCCCCACCTCCAAGCTCCACCCCTCTCACAGCATCTGCGCGGCTACCGCATGCGACAAGAAGGGGGGGGGGGGGATGCGGGATTCAGCGTGTGTGAGCTGTGATTGACACTCCATCAGACGCTCCTCTGGCTGTGATTGGTTGTTTTGACTCGTCCCGAATTATTCTTTCCAGATTGAAATACAGGCAGTAGGCGGGACCAATTGAAGCAGTTTTTTTCACAGGTTACATATCACATGTACTGCTGTCTGGGCATAGGGACAGTTTTAGCCAATATGACAAAAAAGTGATTTTTAAAAACTTACAAACTTCAGCTTTAATCAGCCTTGCAAATCAAGAAAGGGAAATCTTGCCATTCTGCCATGGAGATAATCATCTCTCTAACTAGAGCTGTGAATCTCTGCAGCTCCTTCAGAGTTCCCAAGGCCTCGAGCTACTCTGATCTATTCTCCACTGGTTTAGAAAGACCTCCTTGTCTTGGTAGGTCAGTAGTTGGCAGGCCCCACTGAAGAATAAAACAACCATTGAACCATCAAACTAGTGAAACTCAACTAAACTGAGCTTCTATGGACACAAAAAGAAGTCATAGAAAATGGTTGAAAACCGTTATCAATAAAATCATGCACTGATATCACAGTTGTGCATGGATTTTATATTTCAGAACCATAGTTTATCTTGAAGAGTATGGGATTATGTCAAATCTGCTTTTTTATCTGTTAACTATATATAAGATAATAACAGTATATTTTATCAAAAATGTGTTCAGAAATCAATAAACTTTAGTTAAATGGTTCTTTGCCTTCTGTGGTTGTGCTAATAGCTTACAGACATGAGGGGACTCATATTAAAGGACTCTTTGGTCAAATATTGGTAAACAATTATGAGCACATAAAGAAACATGCTAACATGACGACTGGAGACAGGAATGGATGCAGTGGATGGCCGGGACGTCCTACATGTCCTGTCACACCCTATGCGCTCCACGACGCATTGCTCGCAATCGCTTTTCAGCCCATTGATCACGAGAAGTAGTTCCTTCGCGCTGTCTGCCAAATCCAGACTTCACACACCGGGTGGACAATCCCCTAACAGTATACTCGCAAGATAGTCACACTCACACCTAAGGAGAATTTTAGAGAAGCTAATTAACCTAACAGTCATGTTTTTGGGCTGTGGGAGGAAGCCGGAGTACCCGGAGAGAACCCATGCATGCTCAGGGAGAACATGGCAGAAAGACCCCAGGCTGGGAATCAAACCCAGAATCTTCTTGCTGCAAGGCAGCAGTGCTACCCACTGCGCCACTGAGCAGCCGCAATTTAATATTAATGTTATATTAGTGTCGAAAACCCTAATGAAATAAAGTGTTTTTTTTTGTTTCATAAACAACAGCTTAAAACATGTCAGCATTGGATATCATGCGGTCACTATTAGCTGCCATTGGCTTCTTGTAAACTTGCTGTACTCAACAGTGTGACAAATGAAAGTTGCCTGTAAACTTAAAGAGAAATCTTGCAGAACTTTCTTTTTTTGCAACAATAATTAGCCAACTGGTCCACTTCACTTTGACTCACATTATATAAACCGTAATGGATTACATTGAAAATGAAGTGAATAATGGTTAGAGAGAATAAATGCGTTTATTTTCTTTCTGTTTTATCACTCGTCTGTCCCAGAAATGCGATTCCTGTCCTACCTCCAGCATATTCGTCGGCTTTTGATTTGTAAATTATTGTTGCCATTTTAAGATTAATGTTTGCATTTCGTTGTAACTGCAGAGTATATAGTGCATAATCTAAAGATTGACACAACTAAAATGCAGGCAAACACAGTGCATCATATTTCACTAGACAATGACGTGAGGCAGCTCTGGGGGATGTTTAATGCTATTTTAGAAGTTAACTTTAAACTCATCACAATGTTCTTTTGGCCTTTTTCTGCTGTGTCCCTCAGTCTTCATCTTGCTTTTTCTTTTGTTCACTACATTTTCTTCTCAAACTTCTTGGGCTTTTTCACAGACCAACTTCATTTACAGTTAGATTGAAATACACACAGGTAGAGTCTATATGTGGGGTATGTAACACCTGAAGGCACTCGGGTGGATTTGAAAAGGGGGTTTTTCTTTTAAAAAGGAGCTTGTCTCACATTTCAGATTTTCTTTTATGAAACGTTTTAAAAGCCGTGTATCATTTGCCTTTCTCTTCACAATTGTCTACTGTGTCTTGCTTTATCTGATACAATCTCAGTAAACTACATTGAACTTTGCAGTTTTGTAAAAACTGTGGGAAAATAAAGGTGTTGATACTTTTGTAAAGCATCATATACCATTGTCCCATACCTGTTAAAGTTCAATTACTCCATTTTCTTGGACTGGAAGATCTATTTTTAACCTTTTCTACATTTGAATTCATTTGAACTATTTTCATAACATCATAGTTTATTTTTTAGACTTTCATTTATCATCATAGGATTGTTGTGTCCGTTAAACTACAAAATTAATTGCAAAGTTTTTTACCTATCCAATTCATCTCCTTTATGAAATACACACAGCAACAGACAACATGGTTCTGCTGTAGGTTTATCTTTAATTCTCAAAAGTTATGTTCTGTTCTATGGGAGAGGATTAGGGCCACTGCAAAATAAAAAAAAAGTTAACTGATTTTTAAATATTATTTCAGATTAATATGGGAAAAAATTCAGAGTTCTGAGATTAAAGTCGAAATTATGTGATTAATGTAAGAATTCTGACTCTTTTCTCATATTAAACTGAAATACTATTTAAAAATCAGTTAACTTCTTATTTTTTTCAGTGGCCCTAATCCTCTTCCGTAATGTTCCCATCAAATCAGAACAGTAAATAAGGCTTTAAACTCCACACACCTTAAAAGTCATCAGAAACAGAACAAAGCAAAGTATTTGTTGTGCAAATTTGCACAGTGAGAGTTTAGCTACACAAACAGTGTGGTATTTTTTTGCAGCTGTAACTAATCTGTCTGCATCTGCATGTTTCAGGTTAGGCTCCAAGCTGCCTGCTGGTGTGTCTCAGCCTCCTCGCTTTGCGAAGCCACCCTGGGAGACCCAACCTCAGTCCCAAATGATGTCGAATACCGCAGCCAGTGGACAGAGCAAGAACGAGCCCGTCGTGAGGCGACCTCTCGACCACATCCCCCACATCAGAAACCCTAAGCTGCGGCAATACTACCTGCAAGGTGCTCCTGTGGTTTGAGGGATGCATGCTTTCATCCTGCAGCATAGCAATGGTTCTGGAAGGACCCACAGTTTGCATGCTATTTAAACCTGGGTTGTGTTTTAAATATTGTTTTGAATCCAGAGAAACTTTGAGCTTGTGATGTTTGCACCTGGCCCTTAATGAAGACTGAATCAAAAGTGAAACAAACAGGTTTTCTTTACTTCACAGGGACCGCATGGGAGCTAAGCAACACTGCAGTGACTGTGGAGGAACCACTAGATGGCAGCTCATCCAGCACTGTGAGTCACTTTTATTACAACCAGTCTAAAGTTAAAGGAGCCCCCTATGGAAACAGATTAGCAAACTGATAACTGGGAAATTATTGCTCCATTTATGTAACACCTTTATTTGGTTGCTAGGAAAGGGACTTTTGGTTTTGGAATGTGTCTTGAGTTTTATGGGACATGTTAGGGTGGCACAGGTGGTGTCCAAGGTTCAGAGTCACGTCGGGCTTCAGAGCAGCTTGGGTTGCTCTCTGACACCATGGGGACACAGAGCCTGTTTGAGAACCTCTGCAGTAAATACAGCCGAAGGAGCGCATTTTCAGACTTTAACTCCAAGGTACCCATCAGTTTCCTTTTTAAATGGACTAGTCTTATATATAGCAATTGAAAAATGTTGATGTTTTGTCTGGTGTAATTTTAATCTTTGTAAATGTAAAAAAATAGGATTAATGTTATTAGAGACTGCTTTTTGTTGTGTCAAACTTTACCATGATAATTTTTTTGTTGCCCTTTCTCAATGCAGCTTTACTGTTGTGCCTATAACGTCTAACATGCTGTGATGGATGAAACAGGCTGTCTTTCATTCACAGTGAAATGGTTTTGGAGAATAGTTTGCAAGCTTTTTGCACTGCTTATTAATGTTGTATTAGTAAACACAGGCCAAACAATGTCAAACGTGGCTATTCAATGAATGCAGTTGTGTCAGATCACATATGACACACCCATGTAAGCAGGACGGTGATTTTCCATGCATACAGAACTATTTTAATCTTTGCAGAAAACACATGTATTTTTTTCAAATATGTTTTCAAATAAGTTAAACAGAACCAACATGTTGCAACTTTCAGAGTATTGACAGATTCACAGACAATAGTACATAATTTGGAAGTGAAGCGTTGATTTAATTACATTTTTACAATTAAATTGATGTGCGCTTCTATTTATCTTCCCGTATCTCAGTACAGCTGATGGTCTATTGGTTCACAAATCTACCCGTTATATTTATTCAAGGATAAAGGTTTTAATCCATAAGTCTTTGCAAAATTACTGCATGTAGCTGCATGTGGTTGAATTTGGATTGAACTTTGACTAGGCCATTCTAACACATGTATATCATGGTGAACCTTCACCCCAGTCCTCTGCAGCCTCTAATAGGGTTTGTTTCAGTTTTTATTTTAGATTTAAATTAATCCAATGGTGTGAAAGAGTGTAGACACTTTATGTAAGTCCTTTAAATTCTGATTTAAATTACCTTCTCCTCTCACCATGGCAGCTTTCCTCCATGTTTGCTGTGTGATCTGAATTGCTATTGACATAATGTCAACAGGTGCTTTTATGGCTTTCTTCTCAGCACGCTTCCATAAAGACCAGATTTGTGAAGTGGATAACAAATGTTTGTCCTGTTAACAGATTCTCCCACCTGACCTGTAAATCTCCGCTGCTCCTCCATAGTTACCATGGGCCGCTCTGCTTTTTATAATTGAAAGTTGAAATTTTCATTGTTTTTTATTTTCTATTTAGTTTTGACTTCTGATTTTCAGTTCTATTTTAGTTTTCCTTTGTTTTTACCATTTGTTAGCTAGTTGTTTTGTTTTTTTTGTTTTGGAAATGCCCAGTTTCATTTGAGTTGTTAATATTTTCAGTTATAGTTTTGGTCTTATATGCAATACAACTTACATAATGGTGACAAGACTGCCATACCTGCCATCTGCTGGCGTCATGTGGTAGTGAAAACAACAAAATGAAGAGAATCTAGACTTTGTAAACTCTTACAAAGTTTCGGTTTGTTTTCGTCTTTTACAAGGTGTAGTTTTAATTTTTATTTCAGTTAACAAAAATGTTAATTATAGTTTTTTATCATTAAAAAATATAGTTTTTATAGTTATAGTTATTTTTAATTCGCCAGTTTTAATAAACAGTGGTATGTAATGACTCTCACATGACTTAGCCTAAAATAAATCATTATTAAAGGCATTAACATTCGAAGCACCGTGTTTTTGTGACGGATTAGACTGAAACATCCAGATATTAATGGAAACCACAAACCTTTTGCTGTTCCTGTTCTTTTCCATGCAGGGTCTCCCCGGGGACACAGTGTTCAGCGTTTCATCACAGTTCAGCTGTAAGGATGGACCCCCGGGGGAAAAGAGCGAAACGGGCGGATCTTTATCCCATAATTCAACACGACCCAGCTCTGATACCTCCATAGTGAAGGAGGTATGAGCCATCTATAAACATGTAAAGGTTGCAGATATGTGACTCCGACAGGTTTCGGTTAATTTGTAATGCAAACTCGTCCTCCCCTCTTCTGTTTTATGACTAAGATATTCAGCAGGAAGTTGCTCTGTTATATTATTTTTCTGTATCCTTTCCTCATTCAAAGCAAACTACTAACCAACTGCATCACACTAAACATAAAATGTGAGCTACTATTTGAATGTCACGCATTTATCCAGCTTTACATTTACAGCCCTCATCCTGAGGCTCAGATGTGACTACAAACACAGAGAGGAGGGGAAATGTAGAAAGAGGAAGTGATCCCTCCTGTCTACACAGTCAATGTCAGAGCTAATATTATCATGGCTGCTTTTCTGAAGCAGCTGGTCTCAAAGAGAAAGGACGCTTCTGTCAGCGGAAAATCCTCCCGACCAGAACTGGACTCCAACGAAAGGAAGGAGGTAGATGCAGATCATTGCTGTTTGGATTCTGTCCCTGCTCAGCCTCAGTCCCCCTCACCGGAGGCAGAATATGACAAACTACTGGTAAGTGGAACAAATGCTGCATTTTCTGCAATTTTCTGGGAAGTATATTTAGTTCACAAGTTTGAAGTTTGTTGCAAAGTGTTAACCCTTCACCACATTTTTTCTAGAACTTAAAAGGAAATAAAACGCACAGTTTTGTTTTTGATCAAATGCAGCATGAGTGGATTTTTGCATCTCTACGTTTGTTTATAGCAACAGATGCACCTGTTTGAATAGTATAGATCTTTATCCTTGACCTTTAAACGGTCACTTATCATTTACTTTGTGATTTTAAAAAGAAAATAATTTAACCTAATACTGTAATGCTTTTACATTTTAGAAATCTGAGATAAACATTTAGGGAAACATGCAAACTGCTCTTAAGAGACGGTTAGAGGATATGGGAAGAAGTGCTTCACTGTGTGAGCGTGCATAAATCCCTCACATGACATCTAAAGCACTATTGGTTGCCATAAGATGTGTTTACAGGCTGGGATACCTGCCAGGGGTGAAGGTTAGATAATATGACTGCTGTAACTTTAACTGGTTCCCTTCTTCTAACTGTGGAGTAGAAAAGAAAAACAGCCATTAAAAACTAACAGATTTCCTTCCCTTCATATCTGGCTAATAACATTCCCCACATTTTGTGATACCTCAGGTCATTTTTAGCCTTTTCCAACATAAAGCAACTGAAACATGTGAAGCAGGTTAATTTAGAGATGTTTCTTAGCCTCCATTAGCGTCCTTCCTATTGTTAGTAATGGTTAAGGTAAATATGGGTCCATGTCATGCCTTGTTTATTGAACTTCCTGCTGTTTACAAAGTCAGAAATTCTGACTTGTTTTTATCATAATATATTTATCTCACATTTAATGAAGTCGTCTCTATGGAAGAGGATTAGGGCCACTGAAAAAAAAAAGTTAACTGATTTTTTTATTTTATTTCAGCATAGTATGGGAAAAAAGTCAGAATTCTGAGAAAAAGTCAGAATTCTGACTTTAATCTCACAATTCTGACTTTGATCTCAGAGTTCTACGGATTTTTTATTTTTTTTTCAGTTTAGTATGGGAAAAAAGTCAGAATTCTGAGATTAAAGTCAGAATTCTGACTTTTTTCCCATACTAAACTGAAAAAAAATTTAAAAATCTGTTAATTTTTTTTTTTTTTTCCAGTGGCCCTAATCCTCTTCCGTACGTCTCTCATTCTTTCTGAATTGGAAGAGTCCACAGAAGAAATGGGGCGCAATGTCTAGACACAATAAACACTAAACAATTAGGGTGTACAGTTAAATAAATACTTTGATTACGTTTATGTTAAAAGATGTTGGAGAAGCCAAAATTTGTTGCACCTGTGTATTAGAAAAAAAAGAAAATATGCAGAATTAACTTGCTCAATTATTTTTTAATGTTTGGATCTTTTAATTAAAAAAATATGATTTATTCAAATTTACTCCAAAGGTGCGCTAAAACATGTGGAGGACGTGGATACATGATGTTAGTCAGAGTCATGCCTTACTTTACAGAAGGAATACTCCCCAAAATGACTGATATTTCTGATCATTTTTAAGGCCTCTTAAGGGCTCGTTTTCTTGGTGCAAATATTGGATGTCATTGGCTCAGAGTACATGAGGTACATCTTTAGTCTGTGCTCAGGCTGACTTCCTACTTATTAAAACATAATTTTTACACTGCAAATATTAATCTACTGTAAAAGGTGTATGAGAAGCAAACCTTATTTTATCATACACTTTCTTCTTCCTTTAGTCCTTAATAATAACAACCCTCTTAATTTCTACCTAACTTTCGAGTCCATGCTGATCCATAAAGTGATAAAAATCAGTTTTTTCATATAAACATATGTGTACTCATTCACAAGCACCTAATAACATCTTCATTAATGCAATCATTACCCATACTCTACATGACTGCCACCAAACATATGTATATACCAATTTACAGTGTCTAAGAGAATCCATTGATGTTCATAACCCTCCTTCCATCTGTTTCAGTCTAATTCTTTAATACATTACTGAGTTTTTTTCCATGCTTTCACACTTGGGTGGATCTAGGGAGGGGGTAGGGGGTCATGGCCCCCAATCAGGTGATCTGTTGTTCCCATGTGGATCTAATTCGCCACCTCTGGAACAAGCAGTCCCCCTCTGAAGCTGCGTTCTCACCAAACCTGCTTGACCCAGCAACAAAAAAAAAAGGTTCCTGATTTATATTTGATGCTTTTCCAGATCCGCTTCTAGAGCATCAACAAAATGTCAGAGTCAGAGTCAGATGCGCATCGGGAGGAGGTACCCTCTTCTCTTTGCCCATATCTTTTAAAATGGCGGCTGAAATTGAAAGAGTGGCTCAACTTTATTTACTAAATAAAGCTAGAGAACACTGTGATCGGGCCCCTCAGCAGCGTGTCTGGATATGCTTTAGAGGCGTTCAGTTTGTGGAGAACTTCACCACCTGCTATCAGAGCTGCACCCTGAAGGAGGTCGCTTCCAGAGCTGTTTTTATCTCAACCTTCTCCCCTTTGAAAACCTTTCCCCCCCGCTTCATATAGGGACTTTCAACTGGTCCCCATATGGTAAAGTTCTCTTCTTGGAGTGTGAATTCAGTTTAAGTTAGGGTTAGTGGTAGGTATATCTTGCTAATGTTTAGGGTAAGGGTCTAGATTAGACCATATAAAACTAATGTACCGGTAAGTCAATGAAATGTCCCCATAAAGCATGAAAACACAGCTGTGTGTGTTTTGTTTTTCTTTGGGGATGATAGCTTACATCTTCATCTTTAATGACTCTGCAGTCGATGGGAGTATCAGAGTACAGGGAGTCGCTTTGTAGCATGATGAGGAAACAATCATCTGATCCTAAATGTGAACAAAACAAGGGAGATGGTTGTAGATTTCAGAAGAAACAGGAACAAGTTGAATCATCTTAACGTCATGGGACAAAATATGGATGTGGTGGAGGAGTATAAGTACCTTGGAGTTCACTTGGACAACAAACTAGACTGGAGATAAACTGTGCAGCTCTATAATAAGGAACAAAGCAGACTGGACTTCCTAAGGTAGCTTAGATCCTTCAGTGTTTGCAGCGAGATGCTACATATCTCCATCAGTCTAGTGTGGAGAGTCTGATCTTCTCCATCATCTACTAGTATAACAGCATCAGAGCAAATTACTTACAAAAACCTCAACTAGCTGACAAACAATTCCAACTCTGTTCTTCTCTAAAATCTCTGGAGATTATTTTACTAAAGAAAATCTTTATAAAATGAAGTTTTTGGAGAAGAGTGAGCATCCTCTTCCTCACGGTGGTAAAAACCAACAGAGGCTTTTCAAGATCTGGTTAAAGACGTCTACAAAAACACATCAGTAAGACTCACAACATTTTATTTCCTTTTGGGATCAACAAAGCCTTTTTCAATGAAATACAGTTGAATTAATACTTTTTTGTAGATGCTTTGCTTTGTTAAATTCTTTATTAAATCAGAACAAGGATCAATAAGATTATTTAAACAAGAATAAAGCTCAACCCTCCTCCACGATTAGTTTGTCTCTTTTTTTGGTCAACAAACTGGAATCCAGTTATTAAATGTTTTTTTTTATGGTTTCCTGTATAAATATTCATTAAATTAAAGAGGGATACCCAAGAAAAGTTTTATTTATAGAGAAACAGTCGTACAATAGAGAAAGAGCATCAATAATAATACAAAACAGAATAAAAGTGTTTAAACCAAAAGGAAGAGAGATTTTTATGCACTAAAAAAGATTTTGTAAAAACATCTTGTTTGTTTTTTTAACCATGCTACAAAATCTGGATTTTTTTTTTTTTATGCTGACAGGATGTGGAGGCGGTGCCGCTGCCAGACGGACAACTTTGCTTGTTGGCTCTGCCTCCTGAGTGCTGCCAGGGCGAGCGGCCAGAGCCCATGCTGTACCTCAAACTCTTCTGCCACCACATCACCGACGGAAAGGTGGGGATGACGATCGATGCCGCTGTGATTTCACATCTGAAAACTCGCCTCACCTCTCCGTCTCTATCAGGGTGTGGTTTCTGGCATCCTGGTGGTGACGTCCAATAAAATCTTCTTCGATCCGTCAAAGACCCATCCTCTGGTGACGGAGCACGGCTTTGAGGACTACCTCCTGTCTTTCACCGTTGACAGCCTGGCATCCATCTCCTTTTTCTCTGATAGCTCACACGTTCACTTCAACACCTCCCTGCAGAGGTCAGTGCTCTCACTGTTGCTTCTCACAAATAAGGCAAACTGATTCCAGTGACATGAAAGGTTCCCACTTTTTATTCTTTTTTTAATTACAGAAGGAAAGGAAAAACAAAGAACATTTTTCAGAAGCTCAAAATCACCAAAAGCAAAGGAGGCAGCGTCCAGGGAGAAAAGCAGGAGGAGTTGCCTCCAGCTCTGGTTTCTGCTGCTCCGTCAGTGCTGCCCAGTCCCTCACTGGGTCTAACCAAGGAGGAGGAGACGGAGAGCAGAGACATGGCTGCTGTGGAGACGGGGCTGGATAGCGGCTCTCTTGAGGTGCAGCCTGAGGACCCCTTGGGAAGTCTGACTGTCCTGAGCAGCGCTGCCACCTTCTGCTGCGGAGGTCCAGAGGCAGAGTTGCCAGACGCAGAAAAATCTGCGGGGAGTGAGACCACAGATGGTAAAATCTGTCCTACTTTTACATCTGCTGCTTTCGATCGTTCAGCTTCTTTACTAGAAGTCTGTTTGCTTTCCAGCTCCTCAGAGGCCATCGGCGGGAAGTCGAGGGAGTTTGATGTTTGTACGACTGCGGGTTCAGTCGTCTGCAGCAAGGAAGAAGAGCTCAGCTAAAACTTTATCCAGAAGGGACACCTGGCTGGCTCTGTCACAAGAAAGGTAAAAAATCCCTTTAATCTATTATCTGCATGCCTCCAAGCAGCCAAGAAGCACATAGTAACCCTGGAGGAGCTGTAGGGACCCACTGCTCGGATGAGAGAATCTGAATGAAGGAAGGAAGGAAGGAAGGAAGGAAGGAAGGAAGGAAGGAAGGAAGGAAGGAAGGAAGGAAGGAAGGAAGGAAGGAAGGAAGGAAGGAAGGAAGGAAGGAAGGAAGGAAGGAAGGAAGGAATGCGGCAACACGATAGCTATTTTGCTAAGATGAAGGTCTCCCTGAACACACCAGCCCCGCACTAAAGCATGGTGGTGACAGCATCATGCTGTGTGGAGGCACCTAATAGAGGAGACTAGATACTTTCTAAAGGGTGTAGATCAGGGATCCAAAACCTCATGAAGCTGAGAGCTACGCTATGCATGCTGAGTCATACGAAGGGCCACCGATACCGACCTATGAAAGTGTCACAGTTCACCTGAACTTCATGGATAAAAAACATTTTTTATTGTTTCTTTAAAGAATTATTCATTTTAAATCACTTTAAATGTGTTTTTGTTTTGTTTTTTAAAGAGAAACAAAATACCATTTAAGGCTCACTGCTGAATTGTTCTATTATTTGATGAGGCTCAAAGGTGCCTCATGTGATCCTTGCGGCCCCCTGGGGCCAGATAGCAGACAAGGAAGCTGAAGATGGTGGTTAAAGCAGCCTGGATCTCGTCTGCTTGATAAGCTCCACTAGTTGGACTGAATCCTTGAATTAAATCACATTGTGAGGATATTCCAGGTTGCACTGTGCCTTGCTGAAATAATAACTGAACTTTATTGAATAAACGTTGGAGAAATTTACCTCTGCATTTTACCCATCCCCCTTAGGGAGCAGTGTGGGGTTAAGGGTCTTGCTCAGGGATCCAGAGTGGCAGTCTGTGGGATTGGGGCTCAAACTCAGAACCTCGGTATTCCAAGCTCTATGCCCAAACCACTAGGCCGCCACTCCCCGGAAGGAAAAGAAAAAGAGGGTTTTGGGTTTAAATCCTGGCCTGGGTTCTTTCTGGATGGTGTTAGTATGTTCTACCTGTGTAGGTTCCCCTCAGTTTGTATTCCAAGTCCAGAAACGATGACTTTAATGTTGATTGGTCCTCCTAGCTGCCCTCAGGTGTGGGCGTGTTTGGTCGTTTGGCTCTTTGCACTGAAGTGAATGAATGATTGTTGGAACCTAATTTAAACTCAGCATTGGTGCACGTTAACAAGTGACGTTTTAACCTGCAGATTTGATTTTTTTTTTCTTTTCTGTGCTCTAAAAGCCTTCAAATAAAATAAATGATTTTAAAAAAGCAAGAAGAAGACACCTGACAATAAATCCTGTCTGAACAAAAGCCTGCCAGTTTCCACGCAGCAGTGTTGGTGCAGCTGCAGCTGTTGTTTACCATCTCAGTAATCCTGACTCGTCCTGCAGATCCGACGAGCTGCGCTCCTACCTGAAGCTTTGGCGGCCTGACCTGTGTATAATGGAGGGGGAGGAGGAGGGGGAGGCAGACCACGACGAAGAGGAGTTTGTTCTCGTCGAGGATAAAGGAGAGGAGGAAGAAGAGGATGAAGAGACGTTGCAGACACTCCGTGGCTCAGGGGACGACTGGGAGGTCAGTGTGTTCAGGAAAACAGAGAGAACAGCTGAGTCTTCAGGTGGATTGTTATACCTGGGGATTAAGATGTTGACTAATGGAGTAACAAGGAACTGATTTGGATCTTTTAATAAAGGATGTTTTTATCTTTGTAGATGGTTTTGATGGAGGAGAATAAAGAGAAATCAAGCGTGGTGATTGACAAGGAACCTGAAGGGATCATTAACGTTGTGGAGAACAGCCAAATTCTGGAGGCTTCACATGTCAGAGAGGTGAGCGACTCTCTGCCATATCAACCAATTCACTCTGCTCACATTAAATATAAAGTTTATCAGCTAAACCTGTGGAAAGGAATTGAGACGAGTAGCCAATGTTTTGTTAAAGGGTTTTATTTGATCAGGATTTTCTTTTAATTCACTTAATTATTTCTACTGTAGCCCAAAATTTATGTATTTTTTTTTTAAATTCAAATCCTTTAGTCTCTTACCTTCAAAATCAATCTGAAAGAGGATTTATTTGTTTTGCAGTGCGGGACCTTTACTGCAAATAAAAAAAATCTACCTGATTTACGTAAACGATTCAAATGCTATTTTCTAAACTTCCAAGAAATGAGACTAAATGTGTTCTCCCGGGACTGTAAATGTGTTTTTAGGCCTAACTTTGAACCAGAGTCTTATTTATTATTAGCAGAAAGCATTTAGGATAACGATCATAAAGTCTCTGAGGCGTCAGACCAGGCGGCTTCTACGGGAAACAAACGTGGACAAAAAAACAGGGATGTTTGCAGCATAATCTGTTAACTAATACATCTTCCATGTGTTTTTTAATATTTTTTTTTTATTTAACCCTACTCAATCAACAGCTTTTTTTTTTTTTACTATAGCGCCACCATGTGTCAAATAATCCTAGACCATCCGATAGACCCCTGGTTTTCAAAGTGGGGGCCGCCAGGGGGGCCGCTGGGAGATGGAGGAGGGGAAAAAAAAAAAAAAAAGGTATACATAAAATTAGTTTTTTGAATATAAATAATTAAAATATTCCTGTCTGGGTATAACTGCATTATGAAAATCATTAACATAAAGCTTACAAATAATACTTTCTGGCTGTATGTAAGACAAGAGTTTCCCACCCTGTTCTGTTTTTGCAAGGTATAAAGAGGCTCATCGTTTAAAAAAAGGTTTTTAAAATAAAGTGGTGGGCCTATGTTATTATATATTTTATGCATTTCATTGAGGAATTAAAGGTTAATAAAATATAATTGTGACTTCAGCTTTACAAAATAAATTTTTATTTTTATTCAGATGGTTTGTTCACTAATGTTTTAATTCTGTCGCTGTAGCTTACACATTAGTGTTTACGCATGTTTCATATGAGTTGAAAATGTACTGGTGTGTAGGGGGGCCTTGGCTAGCCTGACGTAGTCCTACTCAATTCTAGTCAGAATATGAGTCTGATGCTGCTCCATAGAGCTGTGATTATGGGGCGTGTTTCGAACGAACCAGGAAAAAAAATGCCTCTGCACTCAATTGGATAGACCTACAACCAATAAGAGCAACGGAGTGCGTGACGTATGTTAAGCCACGCATGGTTGTTGTCAACAAAAATCAAAGCGTGCAGTTGCACGCCTAGAATAAGAAGATGAGCCTTGATCGCGTTTCTCTGTTCCTCTTTTAAAATTAATTTGCTGTCGATATCTTCTAGAACAGACCTAATAGCAGAATCTACTCACCTCAACTCTCCAGCGGCAGCCATTGTTGTTGTCACCCAAGCTCGCTTTGGTGACATGGTTGATTACGTTACTGTTGATCATCTGTCCATCATCGTATAAAACCCGCCCTGACAATTTGATTGGCCCGCCAGATATTGTGTGAGCATACTCACGCTACTATTAAGCAATGCCAGACCGAACTTCCCGACCTCAAACGTTGTGGGCGGGACTAAGTTCGGAATAGCATCCAGGCTAGGCCTTGGCAAGCTAAAGTTTGGGAATCCCTGCGATAGATCATCCTAGGTCTGGCTTTTATTTGACACCTTTAGAAACATCCAAACGGGTGTTTCTAAAAATCATTTTAAAATTTACATTTTCACTTTTTTTTTTCTATCATTTCACGTTTTGATGCATATTTTATTTTTGTTGACCCATTCAGAAGGTTCAGGTATTTCCTGATGGACTACGACATGAAATAAATCACCAAACCTCAAACGGAGATAGTAGAGCTTCTAGTTTGTAATGATTGGAGGACAAAGTTAATAATTTAGTGCCTTCAGGACTTTTTTAAACACCAGGTGGCGCTAGTTAAACATCTACCTGTGATTTTTTTACCATGTTATTTATATCCAGGATGGCTTTTTAAAGATTTAACTCTGTTTTACCACACACCTTTCTTGGTTACTTCAGTTATAAATCTACATAGCTTTAAGTGTGCCTACTTGATTCTATTGATGTTTTTTAAGAGTGAACCGAAAACCTATTTGTTTAAGAAAACATTTTAATTCTAGTAGATTACCGGTTGTTTTATGACCATGTCTTTTGTGACTGTAAATGTATTTTTTTATTTGTTTTGTAATTTTGTGAAGCACTTTGTGACCTCTATGTCGAAATAAACATTACTTACATATCTAACTGCTGTTGTTGTAAAGCCTTAGAATAAAGGAACTAAGGTCTGGTGTTTCAGCACCAGGAGTTAGGAAAGAACAACCCTCATTGATATCGACCATTATCCTCATGTCATTATCTACTGGTCGTAAGCATTCAACCTTTTAAATGTTACACACTTTTTTACTTTGGTTTGGACTTTAAAAGGCTGTTCTTAATAAAGTTTTTATAAACTTTTTTCAAGTTCAGCATAAAATGACGTCTTTCAACACATCTTGTTCCGCTAAATAGAAATATATATATTTGCTGGCTTACAAAGTTTATTTTAACCATAAATTAAGATGTTCCACCATATGTCAGTCTGGTGAATAGCCTCTCAAAAAAGTACAATAAATGTTATAATATTAAAGTGAATACATCTAAAAGTGTTAAAGGAATACCAAAATACTTTGCTGATCTCTGTGTTTTATACGATTATATTTTTTGTCCTTTTTCTGTATCATTCCTCCTTTCTGTGTCTTTTTCTTCCAGCTGAGTCAGGAGCTTCCCCCCAGGACGGTGGGCCGCACATGGCAGCTGGCTTACAGCACGTCCCGCCACGGCGCCAGCCTCAAGTCTCTATACAGGAAACTGGGCAACACTGACTCCCCTGTGCTGATTGTCATTAAAGACGCACTGGATGAGGTAAAAGCTTTAATGTAAACTAGAAAAATACCCTGCAGCTTATTTGGATCTACTTTACTTTATCTGTGTCACAATTTATCTTCCATCAGCTTTTCGGGGCTTTCCTCTCCGAGCCTTTGAAACCCAGTGAGAAGTTTTATGGTACGGGAGAAACCTTCCTCTTCATGTTGCATCCACGTTTTAAGGTAGGAGAACTGGTAAACATCTTAAGAATGCCAATATCTGCCATGCTTATTAGATATTAGCTAAACGAATCATATTATCGTATATCTAGCACTTTGAGATTTGAAATCAAATGTAAAGTGCATTATAAATAAAATTCATTATTATTATTATTATTATTATTATTATTATTATTATTATTCCAGAGTTAAAGAAAATTGAGCAGTTTACAGTAGTCAGGATGAAAGATATCAACAATTTTATAATTTATAATGTTTCATGGAATCATTTTTGAAACATAAGCAGATTAGTTTACATCAATGAATGAATGAATGAATAGGAAGTTTTCCAGACAATTTGACAAACAGAAATAAATGAATCAACCAAATACACACAAGAGAGAGTAGTTAACATCAATTTCCACACCAAACACCAATTTCCAAACTAACTAATTCACCTGAACAAAAATAGAAACCCTCCACATATTAAACCTGCACTGCAAAAAATCTGAATCTAGATAAGTCATTTTGTCTTAAAATAAGTGCATTTGTTCTTGAATTGAGGAGGTAAAAGAGACATTTTGCCAATTGAACAAGACAATTTACACTTAAAATAAGAAAACACAATTGCATTGTCTTAGTTCAAGTGCATATTATCTAATTATCTTATTTTAAGAGTAAAATTACTCATTCCATTGTCAAACTATCTCATTTACCTACTCAAATTAAGGGTGAATACACTTAAATTAAGAAATTTTTACTTATTTCTAGATAGTTTTTTCAGTGTGTCGGTATATACAGGCAGAAAAATGACATTGATTAATGTAAATTGTCTCAAAAGGGGTATTTTCATACTCCCTCTCCCTCTAATTGCACTTAAGTTAACTTCTAAGTTAATTTAAGTGCAATTAAATTGCAATGAAATGACTTCAATTGATATCCTTTAATAAAATATCATGCAGCACATCTGACCATGGAGAAAATAAACCTACCAAGAAATGAAGGACCAACTAAACTGACCGCCTGGTTAAGGAGAGCAAATAATTAGAGGAGGGACTAGACCAATTAAAAAGTTTGACATTTAGTGTTTGTGGAAGAAGAGCAAGTAAAACCATTCCTAAAAAGAAACCATTAGAATGTAGAAGATGCAACGAACGTAAAAATAAAAATTTGCTCTGGTTGGATGAGACCAAGGTCGAACTTTTTGCTGTTTGTGAGACGCAGGCTGTGGTGAAAAACTAAACAGTGTAGTTAACATCAGCCTGAACACACTGTTCCATGATGAACAGTGTTGGGCATGTTACTTTGAATTAGTTATAGTTACTAGTTATTTCTCCCAAAAAGTAACTGAGTTAGTAACTGAGTTACTCCACAATAAAAGTAACTAGTTACTAGTAAAAGTAACTATTGCGTTACTTTTGCGAGTGTATGAAATTAATAACTGGGGATGTCAAATTCTGAAATCCTGTGTTTGGGTTGTTATAGATACTGCAACATGTAGCTATATCTATCTATCTATCTATCTATCTATCTATCTATCTATCTATCTATCTATCTATCTATCTATCCATCCATCCATCCATCCATCCATCCATCCATCCATCCATCCATCCATCCATCCATCCATCCATCCATCCATCCATCCATCCATCCATCCATCCATCCATCCATATTTCTCTCTTTCTACATATAGGCTAATGATCGTTCACGCTCTCCATAGTTCCCCTGTGGCGCGAGCACAGGACAGCTCTTGCACGCCTTTAGCGAGCATGCACATTTCCTGTCGCTTGCATGGTGAATCGTGCCGCCGCGCTGTGTGGAGATGCAGGGGAAACCGTATCTGATGGGGAAATGCAGCTCGACGTAACACCAGTATTTCCATCTGGAAAGCGCTGTTTTGCCGCTGGAGTCCTCCTCACTCTCCATCCTCCCCTCTCTCATGACGCACACGAGTCCTATCATGAAAAAAGGTTCATTGTGCGACCTGAGTAACGCGCAGTAATGGGGTGTCGGCAATTGTAACTGCGTTATAGTTACACTAAGAGTAATCATTTTGATTACTCATTACTAAAAAAAGGTAGCGGCATTAGTAACGCCATTACTTTCAACGCCGTTACTCCCATCACTGATGACGAAACATGGAGGTGGTCAGTAAGGCTCAACACTGTTCGACCTAAAACAGACCGGACCAATCAGGGAGGAGGGTCCATAATGCAACAGCACTTTTCTACAACCATAACATTCAAGATTGCAGCTGAAACACAGAGATGTTTTATTGCTGCTCTTGATTATGTCCCAAAAATGCTGTTTATATTGTTAAAATTTTAACAACCGGCTGTTACAATAGATTTTCCTTTTTTTAAAAGATGTTTTTTGCATCACATCTGTAGTTATCTGGTTGTTTCTAAACTGTTTCCACGGACTGTTAGTCGCACCTATGGAATCTGGCTCTGGCTCCTCCTTTCCAGACTAATATATCATGTAAACGCCTTAAAATAGTCTGGCGAGGCTAGGTGGTGGCAGCAGTGTGCTGTGGGGATGCTGTTCTTCAGAGACTGGAAAGATGTTGAGAGAAGCATGGAGCCGAATACAGAAGAATCCATTAGAAAACCTTACATAAGGTACAGCAGGCTTTAGACTGGGTACTGTAGAAGGCAAGGCAAGGCAAGGCAAATTTATTTGTATAGCACAATTCAGTACAAAGACAATGCAAAGTGCTTTACATGATTAAAATGTAGGAAAAAAAACGAATCAAAGCAAGTAGGGAAAAAAATAAAATAAAAAATGCAGAAAAAAAGAAGAACATTAAAAACAGCTGGACTAAAGAAAATAAAAAAGTTTAACTAATGATGTTTAACTAGAACAGTCGAAGGCGACCCTAAACAAATGTGTTTTTAGTCTTGATTTAAAGGAACTCAGGCTTTCCGCATTTTTACAGTTTTCTGGAAGTTTGTTCCAGATAAGTGGAGCATAGGAACTAAATGCTGCTTCTCCATGTTTAGTTCTGGTTCTAGGTGTGCAGAGCAGGCTGGAGCCAGAAGACCTGAGTGGTCTGGATGGTTGATACACTGATAGCAAGTCTGTGATGTATTTAGGTGCTAAGCCATTCAGAGATTTATAGACTAACAGAAGTATTTTAAGGAAGGCTCCTTTAACAGCAGGACAACTCTAAACATGCAAGCAGAGCTACAATCAATGTTTTGATCAAATCAGTTATGTATTAGAATGGCCTAGTCAAAGTCCATTCCTAAATCCAGCTGAGAATCTTTGAGTGGAATTCTGAATGTCCAAAGCTGGTAACGGTTTACTCCATCACACCTTAATATCGGCTGAAAGCATTTCTACATTAAAGCTGAAGTCTGTAAGTTTTTAAAAATTACTTTTTTGTCATATTGGCTAAAACTGTCCCTATGCCCGGACAGCAGTACATGTGATATGTAACCTGTGAAAAAAACTGCTTCAATTGGTCCCGCCTACTGCCTGTATTTCAATCTGGAAAGAATAATTCGGGACGAGTCAAAACAACCAATCACAGCCAGAGGAGCGTCTGATGGAGTGTCAATCACAGCTCACACACGCTGAAGTCAGGAGGACGCGCGTGGAAGTCATGGCGGAGCGACAGCCACCAGCGAAAGAGAAACTGCCCTTACTGCCCCTGTAGTAATTTGTAACTTCGGTATTACCCGCATCTTATATCTAGCTGCTTGGAGGTGAGTGTTATCGCTCTTACCGGTTCACACTCCATGCCGCGTACGCTGCTTGGACGCTTCCGGTCGCATGCGGTAGCCGCGCAGATGCTGTGAGAGGGGTGGAGCTTGGAGGTGGGGCATGAGTGAAGCAGAGAGGGTGGGGGAGTGGCGTGAAACCTGTTTTTCTTCAAATTTTCAGTCGAAGTTTGCTCTCTTCTCAATGTAACAGACTGCAGCTTTAAGATAGGGGTGGGTCAGTCTAACATCCTGCCGCACATTTCAGATGTTTTATTAAAAAACCTAAAACATGGAACCATGAATCCCTTTTCTTTTACATCCTAACGATGCCTTACTTTGAGTTTCTGTAAAGCTTAAAATCCCAGAAAAATCCCAGTGGTAGTGAAAGTTGAAATGTTGTGATCCCTGTGTCTGAGAAGCTCCTGGTTTCTTTCCTGTCAGTGCTTCAGGTGGACAGGAGAGAACTCGTTTTTCATTAAAGGAGACTTGGATTGCTTCGCCGTAGGTGGCGGAAGGTAAAATACAAACTTGATATCATTTTTTTTTTCTTTTTTAAAGATTCACCCTCTACTCAGCCACCTTCTGTGCCTCTCTCTGCTCTCCCCAGGGGTCACTTTGGCCTGTGGGTGGATGAGAACCTGTATTTGGGCCGTAGCAGTCCGTGCTACACCTTCAACAACTGCTCCCTCTCTGAAACGGACGACTTCCGCATCATGGAGCTGGAGGTGTGGACATTCAGCTGAGGAGACTGCTGATCATTGAGAAGAAGCTGCTTATCCATCACATCCACATAGATTATCAAACCGGATCTCTGTGCTGTGGACTCTGTCCCTGAGGGGGTTTAGATGGTCGACTCGTTCCTGCGGGTTCGGCAACCTGAACTATTAGACTGCATTCTTTCCATCCATTCTTTGAATGGGGTTGGCTGCCACTCTGAGGATGCTTTTTGCTCCAATTAAATTAGCACCTTCTCATTATTTTATAGTTTAACATTAATACATCCAAATATGATCATCTCCCTGCCACTTTAATGCATGACTGTAATTATCTTAGAGATCTGAAGACTTCACAGGTACCATCCTGCTCTCCATCACAGCTAATCCTCACATCACTGCGCTTGACAAAAAGGAGAAGCTGGAGAAGGAGCCAAATTAAGGCTGTTTTTGTTCTGCAGCTGTAACTGTAGTTTTACCTCTGATTGAACATCCTACCTGTGGATTAATTCATGGAAATCTGCTTAATGTGAATGGAAATGTTTGGAAAATGGATCTGCTGGGTTGGTCAGAGGTTTAAACCCACTCCTCATCATCATCATTATTTGCATGGAGCTCATATTAGTTTGGGTTCCTTTAATGGTGCATTTGAAGCATCCTTTTTTAAAATGAGTTAATATAAAGCAAACAGAATGTTTTCTTTTATAAACCAGAACTTGATTAGGCTCCCTACTAATATGGCTGAGTGTTCATTAGACCTGCAAAGAAACAAATCCATTTAGCATTATTCTGGATGGATATTTGACCACTTAATACATGTAAACTGGTTGATTTCCTAACACTAAAGTATATTTTAAACAAAGTCCATAGATGTTTCTGCAGATTAATTTGAGATTGATTAGTTTTTTTTGTTTGTTTTTTGGAAGTTTATCAATTTAAAAAGCAGTTTGGGATTAATTCCCATTTAGAAAATTCAATTCTGTTTTTGGGTCTTATTTTATTTTGAATCGTACTTGTTCATTGTTCGTAGTTTGTTCATTGTTTTATGGCAAAGGTCAGTGACCTTTAGGACCAATTCTGCCAGTGATCTAGGTATTAAAAGCTGCGCGAGTCTTTGAAGTAAAAACAACTTTGTTGTATTTTCTTTAATTTTTAGTATTAAGAAAATTATCTCCTTGTTTTTAGGTTTTAAAAGACAGAAAATCATTAAATGTGTTCATCTCAGGTGATTAAAACATTTTCATTACTGGAGCTTTTGAAATGGATATTAAAAAAGCTCTTTTCTACATACACTAAAATAGCTACTCCTTAAATTATTACTGCAAAAACACTTTTAAAACTAGAATTTGTTTATTACCTTTCCATTTTAAAACACGGCTCCATGTTGTTAATATCGTTGACAAATGTTATTAAGGTCCAAAAAGCCATTTGTGTCTCCAGAACTGCAGGTTGAAGACCCCTAAGGAATCATTTTTCATTTCTGGTATAAAAAAAATCACTTAATTTCTGTTGTATAAAAGGAATGGTTCAACTGCATCCCTAAAAGCTCAAATCTCATTTCACATCCATACAGATGAAGAGTGGATGAAGACTTCTGACCAAAACTGTATCTTTGATCATTAATAAGGAAGAAGAATTCTTGTTTGTATGAAAAAAACTGTATTTATTATGGAAAAATGGCAATAATAGGTCAGAGAATAACAGTGTTGTTACTCTAAAGGCTTTAGGCAGGAAACAGAAGTTTCTGGAAAGCTGGTAGAAAGCAGCCAGTTTCTCAGCTTGTTTTATACTCAGACGTGAAGAAGAGGAAGATGAATGAGGTGAAAAGTTTCCTGTCTAAGTGCAGAGACTAAAACACTGGCTGTAGAGCCAGTATGATGGCTTTCTAATTTAAACATAGTTTTTGGCTCATAAATGTAAATATGAAGCAGGTGGACATTAAACCAATAAACCTAAATTAATTATCTTTGGTCTGATCCCTTGATATCTAATCCCTACAACAATTCAAACTATCTAAAAATAATCTAAATCTGCATTTTATGTGCCATAGTTTGGCTTTCCTCGTGAATCCGGTGGCTTTGCCCCCCCCCCCAGCTGTGTCAGCAGAAACATCAGGCGCCCCCCCACTTGGAAAGCTTTCAGGTGACGCCTTCACAAACTGCACAGAACACAGCTATGGGTAACAAGAACCCCCGACCACCGACGCAGCAGTCCGATAGAAATACAAAGCCATAAAAAACTCTGCAGTGCTGCATATCAGCTGTTAAAAAGGAGCTGCGAGGTTTAAATATCACAGGTTTTTCTTATTTCACTGAGCAAGCGAACGATAATACTGACATCTGTACAAAAAAATGTCATTTTTAACCACAAAAAATGTAGAAATAAATATGAGCAATGAGGACAAAAGAAGAAAAATGACAGATTCTCCACCGCAGACAAGCAGTGTGACACATTTTACTGAGTCATGAATTCCTTGGCCTTCTCCAGCCCCTCCTTCAGGAATTTGATGTACGTGGACGTAGAGGGGTCCTCAAACCCCCCAGAGAAGCTGAAAGTGGCCCCTTCATCCTCTGGTTTCACTGCCGTCTGGTCCAGGAAGTAGTTAGCATTGATGTGGTGGACCTGAGGGACACAGATGAGAGGCATTTCCCTTCGGCCAAACACTTATCTCATCTGGAAAGATTCCTGGTGACATTACTCGGTACAACAAAGAGTTCAACCTTAGTTCAAACATAAATAAACTCAGGAAAGTCTGCTAAAACTACAAGGCCTAAAATGGGTTAAACTGTGTTTATTAAAAGCTGTATTTACAACTGTTCCATTGGGCAGCGCCACCAGCATCTCCACAGGGAAACTGTACTTCTCCAGATGTAGGCGGGCCTTTTCCCTCAGTGCAGGGTTCCGCTCGTCAGCCTGGAACAGGTTTTAAGACAGAAACAGAACAGTTGTGTTGCTGCACAGCGGTTTACTGGTTTCGCTGGTCTCCAGTTGCTCTGCGCCGCTTACCTGGATGGTCTCCAGCTCTTTGACCAGAGACCAGCTGCTGATGAAGCTCTGGTTGAGCAGAGTGAGAACGGGCGAACTTTCCAGGACCGTTTCCCGGAGAGTCCGCCCTGAACCTGCAGATGATTCAAGAGCAAGAAAACATAAAAAATAAATATGTAACTGATCTGCTGAGATCAAAGTGCCAAAACAAGATATTTTTCTTTAGTCTCGGTGTTTCCGTCATTCGGTTGGATAAGTTATGGGTACGTTTTGAGCACGCTGAAGGACGCTGGCACACGTCGACAAACGCGAGTCGCCAGCCTATGCTCATACATGGGCCATAAGTTACAGGTAACTTCAGGGTTCGTACACCTTTTCCAAAGTCAAAATCAAGCACTTTTCAAGCACTTTCAAGATCCATTTTAAAACTTTTTCCAGCACCTTACACCACCGTAAATAACATAGTCAAAATTATTATTTTGTGTTGTCGGCCGGAACCAGTTTTGCGCGGATGACTGCCGGGGGGGGGCAGATATTCATTTTCTATTATCAGTTTTAATTAACTACTTACCTTTCCACATATAGTTCACCGATGATGAAGACGACAAAGACGTTTTTTCCCCCCACATGTCTCCTCGGATGATCAAAGAAAATTACTCCTCTGCCATGGCGTAGTAATATAACCAACCAGAGGGTGTCGCAATTCAGTATTATCAGCCGTAGAGTTATCAATGCTGTTTTAAGGTCTGGGCCTGTCAATGAATTACAACTTAGTTTTTTTCGTCTAGATAGTGCTGCGGGAAACACTGCAATACTAACATTACATTATCACACCGTACTCTCAGTCACTCAGTAACTTAGCCTGTGAGTTCCTAGCTAGCAGTTACTAGCATAAACAAATACGCGCCAACGTTGACGTGTACTAGGCTACTTCAGTTGGCTTACTTAAAAAGTCTATGACTTACTCTTCATGTGACTCGAGAGTGCAGACTCGCCCATTGTGAAAAGCTGCACATCTTTTTTGCAGACTTTACAAGAGGCAACTCGTGGGGTTTGTCCCCGTTTAATCCATAATTTGTATTTTTCATCTTCCAGCCAACGTTCATTGAAACGACAACCTCCCGGCATGGTGCAGTAGTGGTTTCAAGGGGGCGGAGTCACACATGGAAATAGACTGGCAGATCGCAGTCACACATAAGCGAGCAGGTTTCATTTTCGGGCTCTCCAACATTTTATTTCTCCATTTAATAAACACACGATTCAGTTAGATAGGGATTTGTTGCGAAAGAAATAGTTAAATTTTCAAGCATTTCATCCAAAATATAAGCACTTTTCAAACCTTGAAAACACAACGTTAAAATTCAAGCATTTTCAAGGATTTCCAGCACCCGTACGAACCCTGTAACTTACCTGATTATTGACATACGTTAAGTGTAAATTACTCATAAGTCGTGGCGTCTAGCTTATCCAAAACCTATGAGTAACTTATGAAGAACTTCTCTCCAACGCATATCAACATATCTGACGTGTTCCAGACGAGCGCTGAACGTGTTTCTAACTTCCAGCTACTGTATAATGGCGTATTGGCAGCGTTTTGGTATAAAGGGGGTTCACAGGAGGAAACCGTCAGTTCTCCTCCAGACTTCATGCCCATCATAGGGTGAGAGTGAAGGTGAGTGTGATGATTCTCCCTTCATTCATGCCCATGGCCACGATCAACAAACTTCCTAGCAGACATGACGCTGAATCTCCTGCGACTGAAAACCTTCTTTCTTTCTTTTTATTTATGTATTTATTCTTTTTCTTTGGTGTGCAGGAAACAGCAGCTAGCTTAATACTGCGATCAAGACATCTTTTGATGCTGACCAGGTGCCTCTGGGGACATCGCTGCTCCCCTCAGGACACTGGCTTGTGACATTTCATGTGCATTACGCTGCTGTCCGTTATGCACAAGTTAGGCTGTGGTTGGACATACGCTCTGGACTCGTTATGAATACGCTATGTATACGCCCAGAATAAAAAAAAATTAGGGTTGTCAAAAGTATCGATACTCAAAAAAGTATTGATACTGAAACATTGTATCCAGATAAGGGGTGTGGGAAATAATCGTTTTGGCGATATATATCGTGATATATGCCCAATATAATATCCATCTTTCACTTCTTAGTATCGATTAAAAAAATAAATGGTTACATAAAACATTGATGGGAAAATGGGCTACCTCTGCACCCCCACTCTGGCAGAAAGCGCTGTGGAGCCCTTTAACTGTGCGTGCAGCACCAAATCTGTATTTGAGGCAGTCACAGTGGAAGAAAAACCCCAAACAACATGGATAATAATACCTACCGGTAATCAATATTTTCTGATGAAAACATACAGCACTTGCTGTTTTATCTCATCATTTGATTTTGATAGCTGGGGAAAATATGGCAATATATAGTGATACTGCAATATCGTATCTAGACCCAAGTATCGCGACACGTATCGAATCGCAACACTCATGCCAATACTCACCTCTAATCCGGATACAATATCATTTTCAAAAGTATCGATACAGTGCCACCACCAGTGGCACCTAAAGTGCATCTAATGTGCAGAATAGAGGACAATGCACTTTCAGAACAATGTGTGATTGAATAATTCTGTGCACTTTTCAGTTTCAGACTTTTTGTTGTAACAGGTGCAGCTGCTGAGAATTATTTTTGTTTCTTAACCGGTTTGGCTAGTGTCATTGCTATGTGTGCAAAGCATAGCCAAGTAAAGAAAACTTAATTTTAATATTGTAAGTTTTTTATCAAGCTTGCTTAATATTGTTCACAGCAAACAACTTCAAAATGTTATTATTGTTTATTGTATTTATTTATTTATTGTATTTTAATTATTAATCAAAATATTTCTGTTGAAATTTTGAGTTTTTATCCTTTTGGTATCGAAAATGGTATCGAATATTTTCCTTAGTATCGGTATTGAGTTGAAAAGTTTAGTATCGTGGCAAACATAAAAAAATACATACCGTAGAAAGTTCAGCATATGTCAGCGTTTTAGGAGATTCTGAAAATCGGCAAGGTGTAACATAAAAAATTCTGAAGAAGACGGGAATACGACTCCTCCCCACTGGGAGGTAAAGCAGTCGTTGCCTAAGCTTCCATTACAAATGTGCTCAAAACTATGTTCATATTCTGCTCATTTCGCAGTTGCAGTTTTTCTTTTAAATAATAAACAAAATTGAGGTTTCATGTGAATAAATTTGTCCACACCATAATTCTGAAAACAACATGGCTGCAGTGGATGCAAACACCCTCTAGTGCTCATCACGCTCTTCATCGGAAATTAAATGTAAAAAATACTTGGAGTCCTCATGAATCCAAATGCGCCGCGCCATCAGCCGCCAACCTGTTTCTATTTAGCAAATGTATTTTTCGTAATTACAATTTGCGCAATTTGATGATTAATGGAAACTTAGCTAATGTCGGTTATTAGAGAAGTTCCAGTGCGGTTGTTGATGCGAGGCGTCGAAGAACGACTCAACCACCTGACACATTTAGGTGCTCAAACTCTTGTTCACAGGATCCAGTCCTGGAAAATTAGGCCCCTGGTTCACTAGCTCACCTCAGCAGGACTGATCGTCCAAAGCTCCCCAGAGCAGAATGGAATGCACCAGCTTCTTCTCCGCTCCGGCTCGCTCAAAAGCCTCAGCAAAAGGCAAGTAGGACACCTGCAAAGATGCACCATGTCAACAACAAGCTACAGCCGTCCCCCTCTGCCCATTCAACGCCTCTCATGGATGCTGACCTTCTTGAACGGGTAGAGGGTGACCTCCAGGCGGCGGAGAGCTTCCTCCTGACTGATCTCTGAGGTCCAGTGAATTTCCTCAAAGACAAACTGGATCTGGTCACTGCTTCCGTCCCGACTGTCGAGGACGTTTCCTTTCTCATCCACGATAACAGAGGGAGTGGAGGGCCCCATGGACCGCAGTTCCAACTACAGACAGAAGAGCTTTTTTTAGATACAAATACCACATAGAAGTGCACAGTGAAAAATCCCTCCATTCAGCTTTAAAGTCACATTTATGCTCAGATCTGATAGAAAGAAAAGGCAAAAAGTTAGAGCAGCTTCAAAATTCAATCTATTTGAAATCACATGTTACTATGGGTGCAAGAGGCACACTAATAAAAAGAGAAGATCCATGTGAGGCACCAGGGGCTGCATTGTCTCCACATTTATTTATTCAAGGATTCCCACTAGTCTCGACGACAATAGAGACTAATCTTCCTGGGGTCCATTTTCAAAAAAGGAAGTAAAAAATCATCACAATCAGTACATACAACAAAACTTACAGTAGAAACGACATTATTAGAAAACACAAACAAAATAAAAGCAAAAACATACACTATGTTCTCCCTAATCAAACAAGCAGAATTTCCTTCTTGATTATAGATTTCATTAGAATTAATGTAAAACAACAGACATGATTTTGTATACATCTCCTTTTCTGTGTCATCATATTCCATAGAGAGATGGCCCGGTATACAAATGTGTTTTGAATGCATTAGTTCTTGGAAGAGGCAGAGCAAAAGTCAGATTCAGATGTCTCGTATTAAGCCTGTGTCTGCTGTAAGAAGGCTCTAGTTTAGAGAACAGACTGAGGTCCGGGTTTTATGAGGAGACATCAAAGAGCAACAACCCATTCTATCTTTGACTTTCTAGTAAGGGTGTGCAAAATAATCATCATATCGATGCATTGCGATTCTAATTTTTGTGATCTACTGCATCGATTCTTGAAGGCAAGAACCGATTATTAAAAAAAAAGAACAAATAAAATACATGAATGGTTGGCGCACATCAGCCAAACCAAGTGGAATACAACTTCCAGTCCATCAGATGTCGCTGCGGATGTGTTGACGCCCGCTGCTTTGTGTCACAAAGTCCGGCCGTGGGATACTGAGACGAGTCATATGAAATAAAATATGGAGGACACTATGAAAATTCGCCCCGCAGTTCCATCACATTTCAAGTCAGATGCTTGGATGCATTTTGGCTTTAAAAACAAAGAAGGTAAAAATGAAATTGATATGATGCACGTAATTTGCAAAAGGGGAAATATACATTTGAATGTTTTCGTTTCATTGGTTTAAAGGACCACTGAGGCCATGTAAACGGCACTGATTATCCTTATTTTGTTATTTTAAGTTTGATGAATCCTAAGATCTTTTTGTCAGTGTGTCCACGCCAGTAATAATAATATTTCTGTCCAGTATTTCTTTCCATGGCAACACCTCCAAAAGTCATTTCAAGAAATACAGCTATGTATGAATTCAGTTGCTTTCAGTTATGTATCAATTGAAGACACCATCCAGATCACACCCAGCCAGTCAGCCACTGGTAAGGGCTGGATCTTTTTCTTACAGTGTTCAGTGAAAATATCGCAACGCATCGCAATATTTAAAGTATCATGATGCATCGTGATAGAATCGCATCGTGGCATGTCAATCGTGATTCGAATCGAATCATGACTTCTTTGCCAATACCCACCCCTACTTTCTAGGGGGTGGAACGGTTCACAAAATCCACGGTTCGGTTCGGTTCACGGTTTCGTGGTCACGGTTTTCGGTTCGGTATATGTTGATTGTTAGCATGACATGTTGGTCGTTTTGCTGTTAGCATAAACAAAACGTGTTGCACAATGCTTGCACACTGTTGCACTTTTATCCACAACTTTCTTTCCGCCGTCATCGTAGGTCACTCTAAATGCAAAGTGGTCCCATACAGCAGACCTATAAAGTGCTGCTGGCGCGTCTTCCAACTCCTGTTCTTTCCCACTCGCCATACCCACACAATTCTACACAACAACTGATTTTTTTCTGCTACACCCGGCTAAGCTGCTTCGCTTCTTCTTCTTGTTTACTACTGGTGGTTGGCTTTGGTCGCAGTACCGCCACCTTCTGCTCTGGAGTGTAAACGCTTCGCCTATGAGAAAAAGGAGCAGCGCATGAACCGAACAGTCGACCCGAACGGTTCAGACGGTTTTCATAAACCGTTCCATCCCTATGACTTTCATCCTCAAAATTCTCTGATGCAAAACAGAAACATGGGTTCCAAATGTACATCCCAGAGCAAGTCTTTCTGCCCCATTCTGAGCCATCATTTGACCAGAATTTGATCGGATAATAGCACAATAGTCTCAGTGGCATAAAACTAAAGACTGTATTACCATTTTTCTTGTTTTGATTGACATGTTATTGGCATTGCCTCTAATAAATGTGTTCCCTTTAGGTGAACACAGCTCAGATGTGGTTGCACAGCTTATTTTACCATTGGATTAAACTCTAAAATGTGTCCGTTGTTCTCAGACCTTAACTAAAAACAGTTGCTGTCACTGTGCAGATTAGGAGATAAAGGAGACACTTTATCTTAACTTTGAGCCGAAACAGCGATGCTCAGCCTCACATCACCACTTGCTCATCAGAGAAAGTGGGCGTGTGTTTAACTGAGAAGGCGTGGCACAGTCAGGCTAGGTGTTTGACTCCAACAACTGTAATGACAGCTCTAGCTTGATTTACCAGGACACATTTTTTAAAACATGCCCGGATTAAGCAAAATACCACTCTGGTTATGATTTAGATGAACGAAGCATTACAATATAGTTATAAGCATAAAAAGTAGATTTTGCATGATATATGTGCCATTTAAGTTTGGCACAAAAACACTGAACCTTGTGTTGCCTGTTTGAGGCCTAAAAAACACAAAAAAACATAAATTGAATAAAAAAAATCCTTAATAATAAAAAAAACCTTCATCTACAAGAGAGCAGAAAATGAAGTGAAAACCAGATGAAAGCAAAGGTTTATTCCTACCTGTGGCAGGTATCCAATGTCCACCTCCATGTTGCTGCTCTCGCTTGCTCCATAGAGCCACTCCATGTCCACGTTTAGAGACCTGCGGCGCGGCGGGACAGATTCCAATACGATGTCAGCATCACAGAGGGGAAAGAACGAAACAGAACAAGCAGCAGTTACCTGTTACTGGGAACGTAGAGGTGGAAGTGCCGGACGTGGGAAGCATCTTTAGACAGGACGATGTTACCGGTGAACTGACCCGGAGTAAACCAGAAGGGAAAGTTTGGAACGTCATTCAGCTGGAACTCTGCGTGAATCCTGCAAAACCAGAGGCAGAGTTTTTACTAAGGGAAGTTATTCGATTAAAAAAAAAGCACAAAACTTTATCTGATCTTTAAAGCAAACTCAAGGTGAATTAATGAACATGCTAGTCAGGTGATTTAGACCAGTTGGTAATTTTACAGAATATAATCAATCAGACAATCACGAAAAAAAAAAGAAAAAAGAAAAACAAAACATGACTAAAATGGCCATTTTAATAATAAAAAAATGTATTTTCTGCTACATCAGCCAACCAGGATATCCAATAGAAAAGCAGCTGTTGTTAAAGGTAAAACCATAGTTGTTTGTGTGAATTACACACAAATCATGTAATCGATGGTTCCTGATCTTCCACCTATAACACACCCACCCCCTTACAGGGGAGCGAAGACCTCCCCTATCCAGCCAGGCCAACAATTCCCTTTAACGACCCCCCTTTCAGAGACATGGAGAGGTATGGGGCATTGCAGGCTAACAAAGAACCCAAATGACCCCCATTCCAAAGGGGCAGATCCTTTCGTCCGTTTAAATCTGCATGTTTTATAACCAAAAACAAGGCTTTGTTGGGCTACTGTGTAAAGCCTCGAATTAAACGCTAATTCTGACATTTTGATTTAAAAAAGCTTCATGGATATTCCGTAAAAATTCAAAAAATATCCACTGGACTTGGTTTCAAAGATTTGAAGACATTTCGCCACCTCTCCAGGAAGTGAGTTTGAGTCTTATATAGACAAAGCCTTGTATTGCTTGGAAACATGCAAATGGTAACCGATGAATGGGTCGTTTGGTTCCATCATTAGCCTGTAATATCTGAAACCTGTCTATGATTTTGAGGGTTGGTCGTTAAAGGGGGGGATTGCCGTTAAGGGGGGATTGTCTCCTGTAATACCTGAAACCTGTCTATGATTGTTAAGGTTTGGTCGTTAAGGAGGTATTGCAGAGTCTTGTCCAGAAGGAGGCCGCTGGAGCGGGTAGTTCCCTCGTTCCTCTGTGATGGGGTGGGGGGTTTGGTGATATCTGGAAGGGATCATGTCTATGATTGAATTGTATGTTTTTGGAAGCTGGAATTTGAGTCCACCACCTCTGTTTAAAGTTGTTTTTTCTCTCTTAACATAGATGGCTTCCTTCACGCTCCTCCCAAACCACCTATTTTCTTTATCCAGAATGTGAACATTCTGGTCCTCAAAAGAATCTCCTTTGTCCACAAGGTGTTGGTGTACTGCGGAGTCTTGTCCAGAGGAGGCCGCTCTTCTGTGTTGGGCCATGCGTCTGTGGAGAGGTTGTTTGGTTTCTCCAATATAAAGATAGTAAGTGAAACGTCTTCAAAGTTGAAAACAAAGTCCAGTGGATTGTTTTTTTTTTTACTTTTATGGTACGTGTTAAAAGTGCAGTTGGTATTTTTTTCATGCAGTTCCAGCTGGATGCCTGAGAGAGTGACGTGACTCATCCATTGATCAATGACAAATTTGGTTAGAAAAACATTAGAAAGAGTCAAATCTAAGGTGTTTATGTGCATTTCCAGTAGTTTACTTTGCAGGAACGGATTTCAGCTGCAACTTTCATTGAAACCTGATTTCTGTGATGGATCTACTGCTGCTTTCCAGTGGTACATCAGCAGTGGCTGTCAGCTAAAACAACCAATATAGTAAATACTCATTATATATTCCAAACAGAAGGCACAGGATCTACAAAGAGAAAATAAAAATTTAAAAAATCTGAGTGAACCAAGCTTCCCTCAGACTGCTTCCTTACCTGAAGACGATGTCATAATAAAAGTCACTGCTGGCCCGTATGCAGGCGACCGTGCCCTGTGGTGCAAAGCGGGACTTGATGAAGGGCCGAGGGTGGAACATGCTCAACAGGGAGTGAATCAGAACCTACATTGGGAGCAGAGGGGCTTACAGTACATGATGCATTCAGTTTAAACTCAAACAACCTGAGCAGGAGTGACGGTGCACCTCTTTGCCTTTCGGGGTGGGAGGATAGTAACGGTTGTTGGGTAAGTAACCAGTGAAGATGTTGAGCTCGCTGGGAATCACCCACCAGGTGTCTCCCGCTTCCACTTTACCCTTTGGGGGCAGGAAAACTCTGAACTGGCTGGCGGGGAACGAAGAGGAGGGCAACGCAGGACCTGTCCAGGAGCGCAGACCACTCAGGGAGCTGTGGGAAACCTTCAAAAAATTAAATAAAATATTGCTGGTTTAATACAAATCCTCTGCTGGTTCTGGATATTTGGGCGCTTTTAGCAACAGAATGTAATCGTCATTATCTTACTCCAAGAAAACCATCCTTGCTTTTAGTCATGGAGTCCAGTAAGAGAGGCTGCATTTTGGCCTCCAAGATCAAATCCTCTCCATTTGGGTCGTCAATCACATCCTCCTCCAAATCCACCGGGGGGATGAGCCCTGCAGGGAAACCACTGTTACAATACCTTCGAAAAATATTTACACCCCCTAAAGTTTTTAGAATTTTGTTTTAGGAGAGTGGTGGCCTAGTGGTTAGGGCATTGCACTTGGAATCCTGAGGTTCTGAGTTCAATATATATATATATATATATATATATATATATATATGGTTTACTCGGGATCAGATACCCGATATCTGGCTGTGCATACCATCTGTTTGAAATTGGTGTGTGTGAATATATGAAGAACTGCATACTACTTGGAAAGAAAATAATTGCAATCATGGCTTTACAAGCTGCTGCCTACCTTTGTGCAGCAGGAAAAATAACTTTATTGACTACCTAGCAGAGGTGTCAAGTAACGAAGTACAAATACTTAGTTACTGTACTTAAGTACACTTTTGAGGTATCTATACTTTACTCCATTGCTTATTTTTCTTCCTACTTCTGACTTCTACTCATTGCATTTTCACACAAGTATCTGTACTTTCTATTCCTTATATTCTTAATGCAAACGTTACTCGTTACTCTTGGCTTTGGTTTAATGTTTATAAATATTTATTTCCCGTCATGTGCGCCATCCAATGCAGATCATTGGGTCCATCCACATCTAGTGAAAACTAGTGTGATTGGATGACTCATAGAACGCAAACACTCATTGGTTAGCTAAAGGAAATCGTCAGAAGCAAGCAGGTGTTCTTCAAACTGCAAACGTGAATTGTCTATGCCATGCTACAATGTAGGATTCAGTACGATACTGAATTTAAAAAGTATCGATACCACCGCCCCCCCAACCCCCCACGCTGACCTGCCGCCGCTGCGCCCCTTGTCTCCGATTTATTTATGTATTTATTTATGTTTATGATTATTATAATAAATAATAATAATGAATTTTATTTATCATGCACTTTACATTTGATTTAGCCTTCAACTGCTAGCTGCGGCCAATAGCTAATAATAACATGCTAAAATTAATCAAGTACATATCCAAGTCCGCCCACATGAAATCGGCCATTTTGATTACGTCACCAATAGGAAGATCCCAGGCAAGAAAATACTAATGGCTTCATGGCAATATACATTAATTTAAAAATAGTGAAATTAATCTTTCAAACACTTAATTAAACTCTATCCATAATATTATGTTAAAATAGTGTATGTTAAATAGGTTTGTACAATAAGTCCAAACAAGTTTAACCAAACAATATTTATTTCTCACAATTATGAAGGGTGGAGGGTTAGGGTTAGGGTTAGGGTCATTAATACGGGCCACCAGTCACGATAACATGAGTAACAGGTCAGTTGGAAATGAAAGACACTAACCTGTCAAAATTCAGTTAAATTTTGGGGTCTTTGTTTTTATCCTTGTGGTATCGAAAATGGTATCGAGTATTTTCCTGAGTATCGGTATCGAGTTGAAAATTTTAGTATCGTGACAACCCTAATCTGTGCCCTATTAGTCGTACTCGCCGATACCAACACCACCATTTTAGTGCTTGATTGGAGCCCTGACCGATACTGGTATCACTATCAGTGCAACACTAATATATATGTATAATCCTTTCTAAGAGGTCACATTCACCAGCCTTAATCTACTCAACATAATCTAGATATTTTGCCATTTAAGGGCTTCCAATATGACTTTTCTGCACAGGTTAAGTTTTGGCAATGGCAGTGAATCCTGTTTGAAAATAAATGAGCAAAAAATACTGAATATGCAATGAAAACAGAAAGAGTAAAAGCTGAAATGATGCACCTGTGAGCTTCTCTGCAATGGGTTTGAACTCCTCCGGACTCAGAAAGAGGTCATGGTCTGTGTCCAAGGAGGAGAAGAGAAACAGGCCTTCGGCACCCAAACTCCGAACGCCCTCTTCCTGAGCAGAAACAGAGCTTTACTGTCAAGTTTTTTAATGCTGCACCACAAACTAGGTCATGAAGTCATGACATCAACTGAAACACAAATACTCCAGAGCATAAATGATCACATGTTCAAATCATGGGTGTGGGTTAAAAAAAAAAGGCTTTAGATCAGCCCCATAACCAGCATTGAGAACACCGAGCTCATGTCCTCGGTATTTTTCCGTTTTTTTTATTTATTATTATTATAGCTTTTTTAATTGAGAGAAATTTCAAACTATATGATACAAATTGTTGACAATAATAATAGCATTAATTAATAATAATTCAATATTAATAACAACAATAATAATGTAGTATAATGATGATAATAATAATAAGACTCATACTAACTCACTCATACTCACTTATTCACTGATACTAATTCTCACTCAATTCATTCACTCAATCATACTCACTCACTCATTCTCACTCACTCATACTCACTCACCAATTCACTCACTCATACCCACTCACTCACTCACTCATACTAACTGACTCATTCACTCACTCATACTCATTCACTCATACTCACTGACTCATTCACTCATTAATACTCACTCACTCACTCATACTCACTCACTCATCCACTCACTGACTCATCCACTCACTCATACTCACTCACTCACTCATACTCACTCACTCACTCACTCACTCATACTCACTCACTCACTCACTCATACTCACTCACTCACTGACTCATCCACTCATTCATACTCACTCACTCATCCACTCACTCACTCATACTCACTCACTCACTGACTCATCCACTCACTCATACTCATTAACTCACTCATACTCACTCACTCCTTCACTCACTCATACAAACATACTCATTCACACTCACTCATAGTCACCACTCATTCAATCATACTCACTCACTCATACTCATTCACTCACTCATACTCACTCACTCACTCACTCACTCATACTTACTCACTCCTTCACTCACTCACTCATTCAATCATACTCATTCACTAACTCATACTCACTCATAATCACCACTCATTCAATCATATTCACTCACTCACTCACTCATACTCACTCACTCATAATCACCCACTCATTCAATCATATTCACTCACTCACTCATAATCACCCACTCATTCAATCATACTCACTCACTCATACTCACTCACTCATACTTACTGACTCCTTCGCTCACTCACTCATTCAATCATACTCACTCACTCATACTCACTCACTCATACTTACTGACTCCTTCACTCACTCACTCATTCAATCATACTCATTCACTAACTCATACTCACTCATAATCACCACTCATTCAATCATACTCACTCACTCATACTCACTCACTCATAATCACCCACTCATTCATTCATATTCACTCACTCACACTCACTCACTCATACTCACTCACTCATAATCACCCACTCATTCAATCATATTCACTCACTCACACTCACTCACTCATAATCACCCACTCATTCAATCATATTCACTCACTCACACTCACTCACTCATAATCACCCACTCATTCAATCATATTCTCTCACTCACACTCACTCACTCACACTCACTCACTCATAATCACCCACTCATTCAATCATATTCACTCACTCACACTCACTCACTCATACTCACTCACTCATAATCACCCACTCATTCAATCATATTCACTCACTCATACTCACTCACTCACTCATAATCACCACTCATTCAATCATATTCACTCACTCACACTCACTCACTCATACTCACTCACTCATAATCACCCACTCATTCAATCATATTCACTCACTCATACTCACTCACTCACTCATAATCACCCACTCATTCAATCATACCCACTCACTCATACTCACTTACTCAAATACTTTTGTGAGTTTTAGAAATGTTATGATAAAAATCTTAATATTCACCTCCTTGGTGGGTTTGTTATTAAACTATCTTTACTCACGTTTCCAAAAGATATGTTAAAAAGTCACCATATAAGGATGTTTTTTGTCAAGTGATTTATCCCAATATTTTTCCTCGGTATTTCAAAAATCCTGGTTCCGGCCCTGCTTTGGTATCCAGGAGAGGGGCAGGGTCTTATTGGTCGTCCACTCATTCAATCATATTCACTCACTCACTCACTCATACTCACTCACTCATAATCACCCACTCATTCAATCATATTCACTCACTCACTCACTCATAATCACCCACTCATTCAATCATACTCACTCACTCATACTCACTCACTCATACTTACTGACTCCTTCGCTCACTCACTCATTCAATCATACTCACTCACTCATACTCACTCACTCATACTTACTGACTCCTTCACTCACTCACTCATTCAATCATACTCATTCACTAACTCATACTCACTCATAATCACCACTCATTCAATCATACTCACTCACTCATATTCACTCACTCACACTCACTCACTCATACTCACTCACTCATAATCACCCACTCATTCAATCATATTCACTCACTCACACTCACTCACTCATAATCACCCACTCATTCAATCATATTCTCTCACTCACACTCACTCACTCACACTCACTCACTCATAATCACCCACTCATTCAATCATATTCACTCACTCACACTCACTCACTCATACTCACTCACTCATAATCACCCACTCATTCAATCATATTCACTCACTCATACTCACTCACTCACTCATAATCACCACTCATTCAATCATATTCACTCACTCACACTCACTCACTCATACTCACTCACTCATAATCACCCACTCATTCAATCATATTCACTCACTCATACTCACTCACTCACTCATAATCACCCACTCATTCAATCATACCCACTCACTCATACTCACTTACTCAAATACTTTTGTGAGTTTTAGAAATGTTATGATAAAAATCTTAATATTCACCTCCTTGGTGGGTTTGTTATTAAACTATCTTTACTCACGTTTCCAAAAGATATGTTAAAAAGTCACCATATAAGGATGTTTTTTGTCAAGTGATTTATCCCAATATTTTTCCTCGGTATTTCAAAAATCCTGGTTCCGGCCCTGCTTTGGTATCCAGGAGAGCAGTTGGAGCTTCTCTCCTCCTGGATGAAGATCAGGCAGATGCGTGCCTGCCAGCAGCTGTACAATGGAGGGACTGGAGGGGGGTGAGGGTGCAAGAACAGCTTGGAAAACCAAACCACTGTAGACTTTAAGTCTAGATCTGTTCCAGCAGCTGGCAGGCAGACAGACAGACCCTCCCACCCAATAAAACCACAGAGAAAAATGCTGCTGGAGCTCTGAGATCTGCTCACAGTCTGAGAAACAGCGGGTATGTGAAGGAAATAAGAGAATAAAATCAGGCAACATTTTATCTATTTTTCATTGGATCTTACATGGCGTTTGAGGAGCTGGGAGTCCCGGTAGAACTTTATCCCAAAGGCAGCGAGGGGGGCCCCGCAGACCACCAGCAGGAACCACAAACCTCTACGGAACCAGGATCCGGATCCTGGGCTCCTCAGCCCGTTCCCCCGCTCTCTCTCCGGGACTGTTTTATCCACATCTGCGGCCATCATCGCCTTCCTCCTTCTCCTCCGCTTCAGGAGCGCATTGCAGCCTGAGGAGCTCCTGAAGCCTCAGCAGGCAGAGCCGAAAAAAAGCGGAACAGTCTGCGCCTCTATCCAGCCTCTTCTTGGTACTAGTAGCCTCTTATTTCCCACATCCACACTGGAAGCATATGGATGCGGTCACATGCGTCAAGCTAAACCGTTCAACACGACTAACCGGATGGATGAGGGGAGTTTCAAAATAAAAGCCTCAGTTATAGACAACTAAATTTCTTCATTCTTTGCAGCAAAGGTTGTAGGAAAAGGTCACACAATTTATGATAAGAAACTCAACTTTTGGTGTTCAAATAAACGTTGCTCTCAATATGCAGTTATTACTAACAGGAGGATTAGTAGGAAAATGATGCACATTAAATAATACAAAAGAAAAGTCTAATAATGTATTAATACGATTAATATGAAAGTGGGTCATTAACCCTTTTTCATTTTAAACAATTTTTTTCACCCAACAAGACAGTCTCAAGTACAATCCTCACAGTCTGGATTCCATAAAGGACACCCTTTCCTGGAGAAGTGAGTCTGCAACCTTTTCCTCCTATGCAAAACCAAAAATTCAAATTTCCCACTGAGCCTGAACTAACCGCAGTGTCTTCCCCTCACCTTTCAGTCCCTGTTGAGCAGTGTTCAGAGCAACACTGGACTCACCACATCATTACCGAATAAACCTGTTTAAACATTTCCCTGGTCTCTCAGTTTGGTCTTCTGCATCTTGGGATCAGACCTTAATATAATCATGACACTTCCTGTTAAAAGTTTTTAAGAGTTTTTCCTATCCACTGTCGCTACAAGCATGCTTAGTGTGAGCCATTGCATTTGAGTCAATGAGTGGATGCAATCAACTGGTTTTCCTTAAACTGTTGAATCAATTTGACTGTATGATCTGGTGAACTTTAAAGTGCCTTGAGATGACGTGTGTGTTGTGAATTGGTGCTACATAGATAAAATTAACTGAGTTGAATAAAATATGTTGGGTGTAACCAACATGTCTGTATGCCTGACTACAACTGAAAACAATCTCATGCCTTCAATTGCATTTTTTCGGTATGTGAGCTGTGTTTGATGCTCTGTCAGTATTTTTTTTTTTGCTGGTGGTAAAGATTCTCACCAGGTCATAGTCATTCCAAAAAAGTAAAAAAATAATAAAAAAATAAAACAATCCACTGGACTTTCCAAGTTTGAAGATGCTTCACTTCCCATCCAGGAAGCCTATTCAATTCAAAATGTCTGTCTTGTCAATTCAAATCTTTGTTCTGCTGCTGTTTTCAAAAGTGCTCCACAAATAAAGTTAGAGCGGATTTACTTTTGCCACAGACATACCTAAAAATTTCCACTGTGGGATAATTAAGACTATTTTACTTCAAGAAATACTTGTACTGTCCCTCTTTTACCAAACATACCTAAGAATCCTAAATCAACATGCACGAGAAGAGCCTCACAAGCTGTGAACAGCTTCACAATTTAGTGATCCATGATAGCCTTAAAAAGATAAATTAAGCTGCTGTAGAAATAAAAGCATGGGTTACCACCAGCGCAGAGCTCACCCAGAATGGCAGCAAGCAGCAGCAGGTGTGTTTTTAGACTCTGTGAGGCAAAGAGCTTTTAATAAGCAAAGGACATCAAATAACAGCTTCTCTCCGATATAAAAACATCAAGAACTGAAATTCTGCAGAAACAACCAGAACTGGGCAGCAGAGGACAGAAGTAGAGTTATATTTTGTGTAGAAAGTAATGAGAAAAGCTGACAGAATAATCCTAAAATAATCTCAATCATTATATGTCAAAAATCATATCAATAAGTCGATACTGAATACAAAATGCTGGCAAAGAAGCACCTCGTCACAAGACAACAGGAGTAACAAATGTCTTGGTCAATAATTTAAATGCCAAATGATGAGATACACACAGAGGGAATAAACAGAACCAGGTCATCTGATTTTCTGTTTTCCTTTGAAAATAAACCGGAAGTTATCTTTATATTGACCTAAATAAATATGTCTAACTTGCAAAGCTGGCATAGGACCCATATTTAAAGGGGCAGGGTCTTATTGGTCGTCCAAAGAATGTCTCAACAAGCTTCAATTACACGTTTGGGTGCCAGAAAGAGAACTGATGTTATTCTTTAAACTATTTGTCCACAGTTCAGCAAGGGTACACATTCCTTTATGATCCTGCAGAAATAAATGTTTGAGAATACCACGCTCTGCAAATATGGCATTAAAATAAAAATAAAATGTGAGTGTGAATTTTTATAATGGAAATCTGTCTGCTTTGAGCACTATTAACTATAAACTCTTCAGATTGAGGCTTTGTGGAATGGAGGACAGAAGAAAAAGGGCTGCAGAGCCTGAGGAGCCTGCAGCTCTGAACCAAGGTGTTCTGGTCTGATAAGACCAAAATGGGGCTTTCTGTTAAGCACGGGGGGGGGAATCAATCTGCTATTAATTCCCTTTTACATATATATTGATTTATTAGTGCTGATTTTCATTAATTCAGGTCTCAGTGCTACAAGGTGTCTAATGGAGAGGAGCTGTTTATCCTATTAGGGAGGTTTTGGGATATAAACAATAGTTCTCATAACAAAGTAGACTGTTTCTCATTTCATAACATTATTTCAATCTGAAAAACTCGTACGAAGAGAAAAGACAGTTAGGAGAAATTTATTGATACAATTACTTTGTCTTTAGCGCTCAGACCTCGGCAGGAAACATAGCGCTTCATTTTGATAGATATGCATCAACAGGAGGGGCTGTTTCCCCCCAGGCCTGAAACTGGTGGTGGAGTGCACAGGTTGAAAGAACCTGTGCATGATGAGCAAGCATGAAGCGACAGTGGGGAGGAAAAACTCCCCGTTGGGAAGAAACCTCTGGCAGAACCAGGCTCAACATGGCGGGCCAGTTAAGATGAGACAGGGAACGCAGTAAGAGTCCGGAAGGGATTAAAATCTGATGAAGCTTTAACTACGAAGGTCATCCGCCGCCTGCGCACAGGAGCAGACGAGTGCGTATCGGAGGCCTTTTAAGATGAACTTTGGATGCCGATCGGCGTTCGTGGAGGTGTGGTTCAAAGCGGATTGGCGGAGTCGTAGGTAGATGTAGGCGAGCAATCAGTTTCTTCAGTTGAACTTCCGCCTAGGCTCTATGTGTCGTTTCCAACTGTAATTGTTTAGGTAACGGTATGTGGAAACCTTCACAGCCTTTCTTTAGGGTTTAAATAACTGAGACAAACTGTCCAGGCAGAGCAGGGCTGGACATTATAACATCTTATTTTCTTTTCCTTTGCAAAAAAATAAAGTGAGACCGACTGAGTAAAATTTAAATGGACTGCACTGTTGAATATCTTTTTCCCCACTACAACAGAAAACATTTTATCTTACAAAAGGTAATATGTTGTGTGGGTCAATGATATAAAATCACAGTAAGGTATTGAGATGTGTGGTTATCAGTTGAAAAATGTTTGAGTTTTAGGAATCCTTAAGGTCCTGAAGCGGTTAATTTATACCATTTTTAAAAAGAAATCTGAAACATATCTTAAGGAATAATGGTAATCATTTAAAGTTCTGTAATTTTAAAAATTCTGAATCATTCACACAAAGGAGTGTAATCACAGATCCTTCCTCCCAGCAACTCATCGCCCCACCAACAGTATGTTATTTATTTTTCCGCCACTGCAGCCATTTTCACAGCAAAGAACAGCTACAGGTAGATTTGTTTATTTCTAAAGGATTATACTCAGCTGTACATTTTGTAGAATCTGATCATATTTTATTAATTGTACGGCACTTTTTCTTTCGTTGTAATTTTGTTTTACCTGAATTTTACCATTGAAGGACAATAAATCACAACTCAGCCTCAATAATTTCACTACAGGACTGGGAGGAGATATATAAAAAGGGCATTTTTATGCTTTTCTTACTAAATACTTCCACACATTTGTAGGATCTCTTATCATATTCTTAATCATCAAATGTATGGCCATGTTAATTCCATAAAAATCACTGTGAGAAGCACTTCCATTAGGAATACGGATTTTTATTTTTAGATACAATAAAGAATAGAAACCAAAACATTTTTATCATAGTCTGATTTTATTATACAGATCTGAAAAACAAAAATGATCAAAGCCAACTCTAGGTAGTGATGTTTGTTCAATTTTTGTTGCTAAGATGTTTCGTAACTGAAAGAAAAACAGCAATCCAGAAATCAGAACTTTGAAAACCTTGATTTGAAAAAAGGGTTTTGACAGTATCTTTGTCCTTCCCACTGTTTTGTTTTTTTTTAGTCATTTTTATTTTTATATATAAATTCTTTTCCAACAGATCACATTGTTTTCACTTCAGGGGACGGGCTTTCTTTCATTGGTCTGCATGAACATTAGCAACATCTTTACTGCTCATTGTGCACCGTAAGGTGCCTTCCAAAATATGAAATATAAGCAAATTAAGGTTTAAATAAACATATTTCCCTTGTTTAGGACAGGTAAGTAAGACTGTTTGCCAATGGACTATGATCTACATTTAGAATAATAAAGAAGCATCTCTTTTTATCTTATTTCCGCGGAACCAGCACCCCTCGCGACCCCGCTTGGGATGGGCATGATGGAAAATGGAATAATATCCATTTCTTATTTCAAGGACAAAATTACTGGTTCCATCTGCAGATCATCTTATTTGCCAGTTCTAAGGTCAAATAAAATTTTTTTCATTGTGAGCACTTGTATTGGATTTGAAGTGAAGAGAAAGTATCTGCAAAATGCAATCTGAAAAGAAAGCTAATTGTAAAACCGAATCAGGAAAAAAAACTAGAAAGTAATTTAAGCACTAAAATCTGAGTAGACAGTAACGTTACTCTAAAACATTTTTTTTATTAAGTTTTATTTCTGGATTGAATATTTTTAAACACATTTCCATTTACAAAACCCATTCCTTGGTTGCAATTACAATGGAAAATAATATTATGGTCGATACAATTCAGGATTTAGCAGCAGTGCATAGAAATCCTGACTCCCCCTCACATCCACCGGCAGAATAATCCCGCCTGAGGAATCCGCTACAAACATGAACCTATATGATGTTTATTATTCCGTATCGGTCAGTCATGCACATGTTTACATGACTAAACAT